TAATGCTGTCACCTTGTTTTTTATCAGGTCTATGGAAATGCAGGATCTAGCAAGTCCTCATAACCTTGTTGGAAGCAGTGATGCACCAGGTAGTTCCAAACTGGATAAATCTAATCTCAGTAGCACATCAGTCACAACAAATGGAACAGGAGGTAAGTATAAGACACAGCTGGCACAMAGAAAGTTTTGGCTAGTTTTTCGTCATGTAGATTTTTTACGATAATTTCAAGAATGACYGTATACCCATTTATAAATCCAGCAAGAATTACGAAAAATTGGCAGTCATACAAGTGTAAATTTCTAATTCCAACTTCACTTCTTTGATTTGCACCAACTGAAGTAAGAGACAGAACTGAAAGAAGGTACAAAGATGAAATAAGAAAAAATTTTGAATGGTTRATTTGAACAGAGAAATGTTTGCTTATAGCTGTTGGTAACTTATGAAACAAATTGCATTTTGTTTGTCATACTTCATTGATGAGTAATAACTTACTCTTATACCCTGAGCTAAATGCATTTAGGTTAAGTTAAAATCACTGACAAGAGAATTGCATCAAAATTAGACTTACATGTTTATTTTGGTGATGAATTCTATTCCTTGGGAGGTAATGAAAGTTTGTAATAAACAGATTGTAAGATTTTTCTCAGCAGTAGCTGCTCATTATTGATGTAGATGATACTGTAGGATCAACACTTCAATGCAGCTACAGCAGATACTCCAGTGCTTTCAGATAATCAATTCTGCCACAGCAGTGGGAGACAGGGTGCCACATTCTGAGGTGCAATCCATGAGAGTGACACCATGGATATGAYTCAAACTAGAGGGTTTTTTTAGAGGTTATACATTGCTGTCTATTTTAACAGTTGGCACTAAAAATATTTTTTGGTTTGTTCTTTCTGGCCGCAAGGCAGAGCATTTTATTCACTTACTCTATTTAAATAAAAGTCTGTCAATGTCAATAAAAAGTGGATGTGCCTGTGAGGGTAACTGAGCTCTGCAAAGACAGGCTAAACCATATTTTTAAATAGAATCCTTATTGCAGCATAAAGAGAAGAGAAAACTTGAAGCATGCTCTTGAAGAACACTAGTAACTAGATGCCTCTGTTATACAGTGTGCATAAACAAACCAGTTAAAATAATACCCTTAAGAGCAATACAGTTCCATTAAAAGACTTGACTTAAAGTGCCAAAACACTGATTTACCTTGAAGACTATTCATTTGCGCTGAACAGACCCTGGGAGAATGAACTGTTGCACCATTCCTGTTCTCAGGAGACAACATGACTGTGTTAAATACGGCAGACTGGTTGCTGAGTTGCAGTACTCCCTCCTCTGCAACAAGTATGAGAGACCCTGGTACAGTGCATGTGCGTGTGGTGTGGCTCCAGGACTGCTGTGTGACATCTCTCTCCCTTTGCTCCAGTCTTTTGTGTGCAGTTTGAACATTCTCATGGAGCTCCCCCTACCCCTGCACCTTTTTTTGCCTATCCTTTCTCAAAAGCCTTTCCCATAGCCAGAAAACTGTTAGGAAGTTGCAACAAGTAGTTCTCTTACAATGCTTTGRAAGTCATTTGATGAGCAAGGAGAATTTAACCCGCTTATAATTAGCTTAGCTGTCTACATGCTCTGAGTGACTGGGATTGTCTCGTGGTGTTCAGCATTGCTGGGAATTGCCAGTCGTCAGCACTRGTGGAAATCAGACCAATGGAATTTTCACAGAGTGCCCATTTGCTTTTCTTTTGTTTTYAAGTAGAGCAAGGCACAATTACCTGAGCATGAGTCAAGGTTGACAGTAAGGTTATTACTCCTACTATGGCTGTCATTATTAATCAAAACTCATGTCTAATGTGTTGCTACATGTARCTTGCCACTTTACAAACATTCAGCCAAGTTTTCCTAGCTGTTGTTTTCATTTATGAGTTTCCAGACATGTATTATTAATTGTCATAAGTTGTCATAATTAATAATAATTCTATATGTGACGTCAGAGCAGTACATATGGGACATAGGTGAAAACATGCATCACCTTGTTTCACTACAAATCATTGCAAAGGTGCTTAAGTTGTGCAGGTTTGGACTAAAGTTAGAAAGATTTCAAAATCTTGCCTTTTTAAAAAATCTCTCACAGTTAGCCATTTGTAAAACACATGTGCAAACAAAATTTACAAAAAAAAGTTCACAGGCACAAAAGCTCRTTTGCACTAGAATAACTCATTCCATGTGAATGCTCCTGCTCAATTACAAGAATTTAAGTTTGAGGAAGGACTGAGCTRGCTTAGTCTGTCACCTCATTTAACTGTTCAGTATATTCAGGTAAATGTGGAAGGTAACAATTTGAGTACTAATTATTAGTAGTGAATAAAAATGTGTTACTTGTATTAAATCTGATTTTCCATAGGCAGTAAAATGTTTAAAATTGAGCTTCTAGTTGAGTATATTCCCAGGAAAACTCGTAGGGCTTGCTAAACGAAAGAGGAAAATCATTCCTTATGACAAGCTGTGTGGTTTATTGTTTTGTGTGAGCTCTTAATCAGATTTGTTTGCTACAACATCTGTTACACTTGCTTGTCCTTCTTCATGCGTAGTATTRACACCTATTGCCCCTAAAACTCTGCATTCATTTTCAGTCCTTAACATGGAGGGATGCTTTAGAGAAAAAAAAAAAAAATAGAGATCAGCAGAGTAGCAGTTGTTTTGATATGCTAAGTCTTCTCTTCAAGTAATAAGGTGCATTGCAGAAGCTGTTGCTTGTTTTGAACTGTGTTCTGAATTAGCTTTACAACAATAAAGTTTGGAGGAGATCCCTGGAGGTCATTTGGGCCAAGCATGCTCTGAGCYGAGCCAGCTTTGCTGTTAGATCGTGTCRCTCAAGGYAGCATTGATTTTTCCTCCTACATTKAATTGGATTTTTCCCWTAGTGCAGCTTGTATCTGTTCCCACCTGTTGTTTCCCAGGGCACCTTTGGAGATGAGCGTGCCTTTGTTCTTTGTCATCTTTGCACCTTCCCATTAGATAGCTGCAGGCAGCAATTAGCTCTTCCCTCAGCCTCCACTTATGGACAGAACAAGCCCAGCTTCTTGTGTTTCCCTGTGCACCGTGTGCCCCAGCACCTGGTGATGTTGGTAGCTCTGCTCTGTTGGTGTGGTGTCATGGTCTGAGCCCAGCAGCCAACTGAGCACCCCACAGCTGCTCGCTGTACCCCGGGTGAAAGCAGAAAATGTGCAGTCTGCCCTGCTAGCAGCASTCAAATCTATTTYMATTTCCAYAGAYACTGCTTTTCAWTTTAWTTTCACTCTTTCAATATGTAAAAAAAAAATCTCTTGAACAGATGTTAGAATGTTTTGTTTTTGTTTTGTTTAAGTTGGCTTTGAGCTTTTTCTCCCTCTTTATTTAATGGCATGCAACATAAAGAAAAATAGGTAATAGTCAAAATCTGCAGCTACAGAGGAAGGACCGTGATGAATTCCTTACCCTCCTAAAGTCTGAGTACAACAAAGTAAAACTGTTTAAAGTCAGGAACATACAAAAATACTTTCTGTAAGTATTTTTCAACAAAATGCAGTGCCAATATAATRTTTTCCCTCAAGTACAGGAGTGAGTTTCTTTTGTTTTAGATTCTTTGTTTGACAGGGAAGGAAAAAAGATGGCATCTGTTSGTGCTGATGGCAGTGAACTGCAGCTGGTATTAACCAGAAGTAGACAGAATTCTAAAGTAAACATTTCAATTCATGATTGAAGTTTTTGTTAAATATAACAATTAAACACGTGCTGTCTTCCTGGATGCAATACTGAATATTTGTAGCCACGGACAATAGTGAAATACCTCCTTGAATAGAAAGAAATAAACGTGCTAAAAAGTACTTTTTTTGCATGTAGATAGATGCCCAGACTTTGCAGAAGTACATGGAGGCATCCATGTGTAGTAACCAGCAAATAAATTAGTTTAGACACTTCTAATACTTCAGACAGCAGTATACATGTTCCACGTGACTGAGAGATTTAGTGGAGGCCATCATTTTGTGTCAAATTACCCTTAAGCTTTTTCTTGATGTGTGTTTTATTGATCTCCTGAAAAAATCACATCTTCTCCAATAATTATAGAAATTGGAATTTCTRTTCTAATTACTTTTAAGAATTACTTTGTTCATTTTGGGTAATTTTTGTCACAGTTTATTTTTTTTTTTAATGAAAAGACAATAGCTAGCAAAATGAGAGGGAGTGCCCAGCAGCTTGAAAAAGTGGCTAAAATTCTTCCCTAATGATTCCATATTGAATGAACATCCTGCTGCTTGCAGGGAGACTATTTGCTCATAGTAGTTTTGGGCATGGAAGAAAACAACAATGAAAAGAAGTTTACATTCAACAGATGTACGTTCAATTTTTTTTTTTATCGCAGTAAATGGAAAGATACAATAGTGAAACTTAAAGAAGAAGGTAGTGCTTGGTTTGATAGGCACTGGTGCACCCGTAATGGTGCAGGGCACCCCACCAGTCACAGAGACAARTGTATCCCAATTTCTCCTCTTGATCTGAACAGGTGTCCCTTTGAATTCAGCTGACCTGTACAGTCACTTGTACAGTTGTAGACACAGCAGCATCCTGTGTGACTTCTTGAAGTGAGATCCATTAGGCAGTGTGACTGGAAATGGGATGTGATTCTGTAGGAGAGGTAAATCACATGGCACTCATCACAGGCAGCTTAATTGGTAGCTGTGCAATTCCCAAAGAACAGCTCACTGTGTTCCCAGACACAGGGATTAATAGCAGTGTGGGTCTGTAGGTGTTGTTCTGGACATTTTTACCATGTGGAAACCAAATCCTTTATTTAACTCATCCACTACCTTTTCCTCTTCAGACTGTATGAGGAACGGGGACTTGTTCCTTCAGGCAGTACTTGGACTGAATCAGCCTCTGAAAGCACCTCTCTGTCTCAACTAAACATAAAGGGAGATTAGCAGGCATCTTTTATACATTTGATTTAGATGACTTGAATCTGAGCCACAGTTTTTAAATAYATTGCCAGCTCAGACCATGAAATTCCCTTCTTTTCCATACTGTTGCCAGTGAAGTCAAAGGTGGATGCAGTGATGTTGACAGATGAGAGCTTTGGTCAGCTTAGCTGATGCCCCTCAGAGGTGTCAGGTAACCAGTTGGAAGGACAGCTTTCCTTGGCAAATGTCAGACCTGCTGGGGGGCTCTGCCAACCTGGCTGTGACAGCAGAAGCAGTGACACACAAATCCGAGGCTGTGCCCCTGAAAGTTGGATACCTGGCATAGAGCTGTGGTAGTTGCCTGTGCAGGTGCTCATTGCCTGTGCACTCTGTGCCCCTGGGCACTGACTGCTCTGTATCCATACATCCATAAGCCTGTGATGAATGCCCAGGCCCAATCCTGACTGACCTTCATAAATAAATTGTGTTAATACATTGAGGCTTCCACATTTGCCAGTCAGACAGCTAATAGAAGTGTTTTCTCTGCTGCTGTTTCTTGCCATTTCAATTGGAAGGGTAGTTCCAAACTCCATTACAAAAGTCCATGCCAGATGTTCTGTCTCGGTAACACATTAAACTGGAAAATCTGTACTGCCTCTGTGGTGCTTTTTGTGCTTTCAGTTACAGCTTGGATGGTAAGACTGCATGATCATCCCAAAGAAATAATTTTAATTTGGAGTAGACCAAAATGTTTGGTAACCTTTGAGTAAAAAGCTGACTTGTGGTTGTCATTTGTGTCCTACTCTAGTTTTTGGCTTCTTTTTCTTTCAAACTTCTCTCTTCATTTATGGAAAATTGCTTGCTGGTGACCTGGCTCAAAATGGCCCCAACTGACTCTGTAAAAAGGGAAAGAGAAAGGCAACATGCTGGCAYTGTGAAAGTAATTTGCTTCTATATGAGCATGATATAATATTATAATTTTTTAGGCAAAACTGTTTTTGTTTTGTTCTACATCTTGTGACAGCTAATGTTTCCAACCTCTRTGCTACTCTTACAGATTTGTTAGAATCAATTAGATTTAGGTTAAAATGTCCCTAGAAGATACTCCAGTTGCTAAATCCAATAGCTAGACAAATGCACAGGTAAAGAGCTGTGTGGATGCATGGACACTGCAGTCAGAGCTCGTGTGTGTTGTCTCAGGACAGTGCTCGAGCAAAGGTTGAAGCTGTTGCACGTGTGCTTGTTCTAGCTGGACTACCTSTAGTGAGACTGGCATGAGGACTCCTGCACAAATCTAGAAGTAAAATCTCATGTCTACTTATTCTTCTATGTAGTGTCTCTTCTTGCAGTCAAAACAGAACCCATGAACAACAGTGAAACGACAACAACAACTGGAGATGGATCGCTTGACACTTTTACTGGGTCAGGTAAAGCCATAATAAGATGATGCTTTGTTAGATGCACATTAATGCAGCATTTAATAACCTTCATTAATGAACATTTGCATGGAAGCAGTCTTTACAAAGCTACAGTAAAATGGAAATAATAATAGCTTTTTCATTTTTGTAAATAAAACTGCAGTTTACATGAGATCTTTTTCCTCAGGGTTAATCTTGTATTATATTTTTTTTAAAAAGGGTTTGTGTTTGCAAGTCATGCTAATTTGTAAAGTTTCAAATCGTAAGGATTATATCTCAGTGCTAATCCTTTTACTCCAATTAGAAGTGTGTTAGTTTAAACACTGRCCAGATTGCTATGTTACTTTCTTTCCATTGGGATGAGCTACTTTCTTCCCAAGAAAACAGTTTTACTGTAAATAATCATAGGCTTCAATTACTTCTTAAAAAATGCAAACAAACAGTGGATTAAGTAGATCCCTATAAATTATTAAAGAGTGATGAACTGTGGAAAAGTACAGCTAATCTGCCTTCAAATCATGAAGTTGAATCCTGTTAATGATAATATTAACAAGGAGAGGAGGGAGAATAAGTYTTGCATCTGGAAAAAACAGTTCAGTAAAGGCCTGACTGAAATGTCACCAAAGCCACCAATCACCACTCCACATTGATACTACTATTACTTTGGTAGACTTAGGTAGTCAAAGCCTATTTAAAGTATTTTGGCAATCACCATGTTTCTGTGTAATTAATCTTTTTTTTTAAATTGAGTGTATGTTTTCGGAATTGTCTTTTAGCCATCAGTTAAACCCAAAAGTTGATTATTCAGAAAAGKATTTATAACTAATTTAATGCCTGAAGAAAAAAATACTTTGTGAGATTTAAAGCAAGTGTTTACTATTTCTGGTTAGAAAGAATGAAAACATTGTCCTCATTATAATTATAATGAAAAGAACCCCATCAACTTAAAGTCTAAGAAGTTCCATAAAAAATTAAATAGTCTGGGCTAAAATTTAGCTTTTCTTTCTCACTATGTTGTTACTCARTTGTAAAATTTTATTAGCAATGATTGCAGATTATAAAATGTTCAACCTTATATATGATTTTTTCATTGTTGGTGAAATTTTATCAGCTCTGCCATGTATTTAAGGCACCTGAGTTGTATTCTATGTCCAAGGCAACATTGGAGTGCCAAAAATTGCAGCCTTCAGCTCACGTTTAGCTACCTAAGTAACAGCTTGATTTCCCCAGATGCCACTCACCTGTCAGCTTCCAGTGACTTCAAAAGAATCTTGAGATCTCTACACTTTGGATATTTGAAAAGTTGGTGCCTCTGGAAAAAAAAAAAAAGCTGGAATTTGAGCCTTGCATAATCCTTTTTCGCCTGTTAGCCACAAAAAAAAAAAAAAAAAAAGCTGGAATTTGAGCCTTGCATAATCCTTTTTCGCCTGTTAGCCACCTGCATACTCAAAAGAAATGCGAGCCTGATTCTCAGTTTAGTGCACAAACTCCAGCATTAAATGAGTGCAGTCATTCACAGTGGGAAATCAATAGTCTGCTTGTCTGGGTGACGTGCAGCCTTCATCATCAGAGCGAGACACAGAGCTGCCCTGATAACGCACTCAGCCTTTTAGRAAGATTGAATACATTACTTCTGCACTTGCCTTTTACTGGCACTCCCAAAGCAGACAATTTGGTTAACTCCAGTTTTGTGAGAAAAGTGCTAAAGAGCAGTATAAAGTCAGCAAAACCGGGATTTCTCAGAGTTTTTAACCTAACTGGCTAGTTGGGGTAATTGGTGGGTTGCCAAAGACAGTAAATGCTGAGTAGTAGACTGATATAATTTCAAATGAGTCACCTGCAACTGAAAAAAATGCAAAACAAAGCCCAACACTGAACGGTTTGGGTTTTTTTTCCTGAAAATGAGTTAGTTACATTTGTGTGTTACTGCAAACTATGATAAAGTGATGATGCCAGCACTTCCCTGATGGTCTCAAAGCACCTGTACCCTCACTTTGTGAGATGGTTCGACACATAAGCCAATATTACCTACTGTGCCTTGCACAAGCATAGATCAGAAGCACTCAAGTGTCCTTTCTTGAGTTGGGAAGGATTTAGGTATGTTACTAAATATTTTGTGAAATGAGACWTGAATGAAAAGAGAACTCCAGGTGCTGAGACCCATTTGAGAATCTGCCATGTAGAAATTCTCGTCTTCAAGCACTCTCCCCATTAAAATTGATTTCCATGGTCCAAGGGCAGCCAAAACACATGACCTGTCCTGGAACTGAGCAGAAGGCTGAACAAGCCTGTGGGGTGTAAAGTAGTCAGCTCTGTCCCTAATGACCAGCTGTAAGGGATGGTCAAACAGATTGTGTGAGATATAGGGCAGGAGCAACAGATTAGACTTCACAGAAAACATTCTGGGAGCTGTTGATTGAAAAGGTGAAAAGACAAAGCAMRTAGATCTCTTGAATTTAGAGTGGCMCTTCCCCTGGTGGCCTTGCCCTGGTCATTGGGATTGGGCAAGGTCCTGTTCAGGGCTGCAGCCCATGTGTTGCAGCTCATGGTCAGGGCTCCAGTTACCCCGTGCTGCAAAGCTCCCTGGAGGAGCCTTTGTCTCTTGCCGTGGGTTAGCCAGGTGAGGAGTCACATTGTGCACCCCCTTCCTCCTCCTTTTTCTTCAAAGAAGAGCAGCTGGGAATTAGTGTCAGTGTACTCTCTGTGGTTCTGCAGCACTCTCCCCCTGGGATGGGCATTCACAGGACTGGGAGAGGTGCACAGCCCTAAACTGAGATTTTCATGCTCTGTGAATTTGCTGCAGCTTCTCTGCTGTAATATTGCTTACAATATATATATATATATATATATATATATATATATGTTGCTTACAATAGTGGATTAATTTGAGCACTGTTTTGTCATTTTAATGGAGAGAGAGATATTTGATCTTTTCATCTTTTTTTACTTAGTATTTATTATCCATGGGATATGAAAGACAGTTTGTAGATATAGAACAATTTCTGAAGGCTATAAAGGTGAAGTCAGGCAATGTTACTGCTGTTTAACCTACATTTTGTTCCCTTGTCCATAGGGATTGTAATGTGACTTAAATGAGGTCCTTTTAACCTAATGTTTTTGCACAGAATTTTCCAGATGTGTAATGAAGAAAATACAAAACTCCAGTCCATATTAGCATACTGAACCCAATACATGCTATTAAAACAGTTAAACTTAAATTTAACTTTTTTAATTTAAATTTTTTAATTTAAATCATCTGCAAACACTTTGGCCAGTTGAGCTGTGACAGTAACTGCTAAGAGCTGGCTGTCAGCTTATCCCCTCTGTGAAACCATGTTAACTGGAGAGATCAAGGGTCTTATACCCACCCTGAAGGGCATTCCTCTGGTAAATTCAGATAGCGAAGTCTGAGGAATATTTGAGTTTTCCAAAGAATAAACAGTTTTGATTCTTTTTTTTTTTTTTTTTTTTAACATGAGCAACACAAAAGAGCATTTAACCCCATTCATTTAAATGGCTGTATAAAACGCCACAGTTGCAAAACCCACAGCAGCCTGCCTCCACCATCCTCGGAGAAAGATAAGTTAATAGGCTAAAATCTGATAACTCTCAGAATTAGCAGTTTCATCTATGAAATGCAGGCGTAGTCCACAGACTCCACTCAGCCATAATGTTCTCATGTGATGGGCCTTACACCCCATGATTCKCAAACTTCTCACAATTTTAAATGTCATGCGCAAATTGCAGGGACAAGCTACAAAGAAATAGTGAAAACAACAGATTTYTTAGTCTTGCCTCTTTTTCTTCCTTGCAACTGGTAGTATCATCAGGGAAAATTGAGGGAAAAACCAAGGAAATTTAAAACCAGACACATTCCAAAAATGTTTTATTTTCTTTTTAAATCTTTTATGTTCTTCTGATTTTTAAAAAGAAGGTATAGGCAGAAAGAGTAAAAAAGCAGGCAGGACAGKTTTTGCTGAAAAATATTAGGTTTTGATAGCTCAAGTGATTTATGAATAATTAATAGTAATTAATTTTTTTTATCGTTTACATAAGGTGGGGTGGCATGGTAAATGGGCTTTAACCAAATTGGTTGATTGARTGAGCTCTCTTCCAGCAAATGATCAGACAAAAAGTGACGCAGTATGGCAAAAATGATCTGATAAGCCGATAATGGATCACAAAAGTTCCCTGCCCTGAGAACCACCAAGGTCACTCTCTGCTATTGCTTGTCTTTAGAAAGGTCACAGAGCTACAGCAGGGAAGACTAATTACTCATCGAGCCTTAAATAACCAAGAGCATTCTTTAGAGTTCTGTGGACCAGTTATGTTGATGGTTCCTGCTGTAGGTTTGTCTGACTACGGGAATAGCTGCCTGCACAGATTGCTCTGTGGGTTGAGCTTAAACCATAGAAAGGCATTCTCAAAAAAACCCTCAAAAACAGTACCCACACAAAATGAAATTTAGTAGATTTCCATTGCAGGCAAACCCTCAATATCTTTTCACACAGCAACTCTTATGAACTCTAATGGCACATGTTTTAAAAGTTATYATCCAATTTTTCTTTACTTTCAAGCCATACTTAACTGCACATTTAAGAAAGAAGTTAATTGTTTTTCTTCTGCTGTGTTTTTCTTTCAAGTCCTACACATTCTAAATGCATTTAAGCTAGCTTTAAAAATATGAAGTTCTGCATATGTTCAAAGCAATAGATCTGAGAGACGTTAATTAGGGCTGGATGTAGAAATATATCACGTTTCATAAAATAGTTAGGAACCTAAACCTATTTGTCACTTATAAAATTCTGAATGTTCATTTCTACTACCATTACGAATAACTCAGGAAGAGGGTACACTTTGAAGTACAACTATGATTGATTAGACTAAAGAAATTCCAGTGCTTCATTGTGTACTACTTTAATCTTTTGAAAAGTGAATGAACAGCAGATGGCCTAATAAAGACACTCTGTGTTTGCCCAGTATGGATTTGCTCTGAAGGGATTGGTTCAACACTTTAGAGTACATATATTTGGAATACATCTGTCTTAGTCAAGACAGATGGCTAAAGGAAAGGGAAACTTCCAAACACTTGGAATTAATCCAGTGTGAGCACTGCTTCTGGATGAAATTTTAATGGGTTATGACTATTGTTCTGTTAGCTTTCTTGGAAGAATGCAACTGTGAATAGTATGGATATACACAATTTGGATGGCTACTAAACAGGACTCTTTATGCATACTTAAAAAGAAAAATGCTGTTGTTAGGGGGTATATTCTAATTGGCCTGTTTATAAAGAATTGTAGTTGCTTTCTAGTGCTCAATCCAGTATCTTCCATCACCTAAGCTGACAAAAACTAGTCACAACCATATAAAAAATGTTTTCCCTATCCAGTATTAAAATTGGACTTGTTAATGTGAGGCTATAAAGGTATATGTATGTTTCTTCAATCCCATGAAATACCATATGTGAAATCACAAGATCCTTTTTAACTACCCCTTTTAATACAACTTGCAAATTTGAAATATCTGTGCTGTGTGGATCACAGCTGATGTATGAAATATGTGCCTACAGTATACTCAGAAATGTGTTAGTCAAGTGCAGAAAGCATGACACACCCATGCTAACTAAAGAGTTTGACACAACAATTTGGGAGTTTTTGAATTTTGGTATTAAGATGTTGCAGCTCAGGTGACATCTGCTTCCTTGAAAAGCTGTAAATTTCAGTAGGCTTCTCTGTTAATGTTGCTGCATTACTGTTCACCCTGTTTGGCTGTGTAGGTCTCATGGTGTTTCTAACTRCTGTACTCTTGTTTTCTGTTTTGCAGTAATAACAAGTAGTGGCTACAGTCCCAGATCAGCGCACCAGTACTCTCCACAGATATATCCCTCCAAGTTAGTGTCTGCACCTCTTCTAGTCTTTTATAGACCTTGGCTCTGGGCAGTTTTGTGGTTTGTTGCAAACAAGTGTTCAGCAGGAGAAACAGAGAAAAAGGAAAATTCTTAAGCCACAGTACTGACTCCGGTACTGGCTCCCTCCAACTTTTTTTTCCTCATGTGTCTGCAGAGTAAGATCCTCCTTCGTGCAGTTCTGCTGCACAAGAAACCCCCTTGAATATCAGAACACAACAGAAGGAGAAAAATGAGACTATTGTGCTCTCAGACATATTASCAGCATATGCTGGCAGTATATACAGATATATTTTGAAGAAGTCAGTTTATATATAGAAATCACAATTGCATGTGCAAGAWGCATACTGGGGGGTAACCCTGTCCCTGACCCTTCCATAGCCAACATTGCCAAACGCTTCCAAACATTCCATGATCATGAACCACCCTTTCCCTCTCCAATATCATAAGATTTAAAAATCAAATAAATTGGATTAGCTTTTAATCTTATTATTTTTAAGCCAATGTGTGTTGTTAGGAATAGAAATTTTTTTTTTCTTTTTTTTTTTTTTTTTGAGGAAAACTGACTCTTGGGCAATAAAGTGAATCCGGGAATGGGAACTTTACGAAAAAACACCAAAGATGTTGTATGAAGTTGCTGCAGTTGGCAGTCTCYTAGTTTGCTTGTCCTATGATCAGTGTTGTGCACAAGGGTTCTTGATTCCCTTCTTATGCCATCTGTTTGTTTCCATGTATTTCATACAGTTATTGGTGTGACTTTGATACAGAGAAAAATTGAATCCAAAGATTCAAGAGCCCATTAGGCACTTACAAGTTTTTTTTTTAACAAATTTGCATTCATATGATGGTAGCCAAAATGTATTAATACAGAAGGTGGGTGCCTGAACTCAGAGCCCTCATCCCACTAAAACAGGTTTTGGCAAACTCTGTTAGGTACTTTTAGCCAAATACATTACAAGGTTTAATAGAATTTTTAATCTACTGTTACAAGTTTTTGGCATCTAAATTAATGAGTAATCCATTTCTGATAGTAAATGCTGCCAACTGCACTGAATTAATTAGAAAGAAAAAGAATTAAAAAAAAAATAGAATTTGAAATTTAGTCATGGCTTTTAATTGCCAGGTTTCAGTTAGCATAATTCTGCAGAGTGTGTTTATTCAACTCTTGGTCCATAAAGTCTTATTTGACTTACAAAACAATCCAAGAAAAATGTTTCTCTGTATATTTTTGCAACTCTGGAGGGCAAAAATTTTAAACTTGGTTTTATTCAATCTCTCTATAAAACCTCAGTATTCATAAATAAAAGAACATTTTTATTTCCATTCTATTTCCCTAGYCCATATTTTCCGAACATTTAAAGCCCATCTGGTTACCAAAATATTGCTGTCAGTACTTTTTGTGCTGCTCTCAATGGGTAGGATCCATCTCCCATTGAAGCTAGAGGCYAGATGTCTGTTGAAGCAGAACCTGCACAGATGACATGATGTGCTAGCTTCAGCATTCACCTTTGTGTTCCCTTTATTCTTCCAGTCCAAGTTTCCCTCTGCTGGATAAAAAAGCACGGGGGCTTTTCTAATTGAAGCATTCTGATCTCATATAAAAGAGGTTAAATCTGTGTAAAGATGTGCACAGTGGCACAGCCCACCTAAAAGGGGACACAGAAGGTTCAAAATTAAAATATAGTGATAGGACAGCATAAAATATTCACTGTGCCTTGGGGAACATGGGATGGAGTGTTTTTCAGCTTATTTCAGTGGGGGATGGAATAAATCCCAGAAGAGGAGCAGTTGGCAGAATAATGAACTGCCTTTGGACATCTTTAAACCTTTTTCTTTACTTTATTGCTTGAATCAACATACAAAGTATTTGTTGCCACAGTAATGCTATTTTTCCTGATATTTAGGCCCTATCCACACATTCTTTCTACACCAGCAGCTCAAACAATGTCTGCCTATGCCGGACAAACCCAGTATTCGGGAATGCAGCAACCAGCGGTCTATACAGCCTACTCACAGACAGGACAGCCCTACAGCTTACCCACTTACGGTATTTGACCACTTCTTACTTCACTTTACGTAGAACTAAAAGCAATGCCGAGTGGAATGCTTTTTTGCTTTCTCTTTTGTTTTCCCAACTGTAACAAAATATTTTAAAGAATCAGTTGAAAATTAATTTCTTATACAGATTTGGGTGTAATGTTGCCAGGCATCAAGACGGAAAGTGGGCTCTCGCAGACCCAATCTCCACTGCAGAGCGGGTGCCTCAGTTACAGCCCAGGGTTTTCCACCCCACAGCCAGGCCAAACACCCTACTCTTACCAGATGCCAGGTGAGTAGCCACCTCTAAAATTTTAAGCTAAATATTTCATTCCAGTGCTGATAGGCATATGTGTGTTCATTTTTATCATCTGTTGCTTTAGATCTGGTCATGGAATGCAGTTCCTATTTGCACCTTCTTTGGGATTTTTTAGTGGAGTGAACTCATATAGCACAACTGGAAGCATTTGTTGTATTTATTAACATATACAAGTCTCTTTTCCTTGTTTTCATGTTTCTGTGTATGATGTAATTTGATACTTGTTTCTCTTTGGATKAACATAATTTTTTTAAGAATTTCTCCTTAATTGATATTTATTGTTTAACTTACTATTGAGTTAGTAATTCATTTATTACCCTTTTGGTCATTGGTAACCTATTTTATTTGGATAATTTTAAAGTGTCTTATACAATAGTTWATCTTCTGCATATTACAAATTGCAATATGAATCATCTGGTTTATCCTGGAAACAAGGACATGCCTCATTACAGATTGATTAAAACCACCAAGATATAGCCTTTTGGAAAGGTTTTTGTTTCGAAARCGTAACACTAAAGTGTTAGAAATGAAGGCAAAAGAGAAAAACAGTCTTTGAGAAGAGGTGCRACTGCAATAAACTGAAAAAATGCTTTCTAAATCGGTGAGATTACTTACTGCTGGTAGCTTGCTTGCATGGTGTGAAGAGGAATGTATGACTGTATGCGTGGAAGTAGAATTTAATTTATTTTAAACTTTCATTACAATGTTTTATATGTCTAACAGAAAATTTTTTTTTTTGCTCTGTTTCATCTAGCTCTCAACGTGGAGTCTTCTAATTAGAATTTTATTTTGATTCACAAACAAGTTCTCACAGTKAATTGTATTTTTTTAATTTTAGGTTCTAGTTTTACACCATCATCCACTATTTATTCAAACAATTCTGTTTCAAATTCTACAAACTTCAGTAGTTCACAACAGGTATGAATATTGCCATTTTTATTTGCCAGTTACAAAAGGACTAGTATAACTCCAGTGATAGCATGTTATTTTAATTTAGCTCTATTATGTTGAATGAAAATCACTATGGTTCAATGCTGTTTTCTGTGGAAAATTATCTAAATCCTACTGGAAGCCTAGTTACATATTTTAACACTTAAATATTTCAGCAGCTTCCCTGTAGTATTTTATTAAATAACTTTAAATTGAAAAAACATTGAATATTCTTAAAGGAAAAAAAAAAAAGCTAGACCAAGCCTTCAAAACACTAGCAAAAGTCATATGAATGTACACTTAGAAATATTTAATGGGAAAAAAGATCACTCATTACTGTACATAATTGAGTGTTCTGCTGCATTTGTTTCAGGATTATCCATCATACACWGCTTTTGGCCAAAATCAATATGCACAGTATTACTCAGCATCAACATATGGTGCATATATGACCTCAAACAACACGGCTGATGGCACTTCATCATCATCAACCTACCAGTTGCAGGACTCSCTCCCTGGCTTGACTAGTCAACCAGGTACAGATCTACATTCAGGTGAAAACMATTTTTCTATTTTTCTCTCTGTTAGTATAAATACGAGATTTCTATATTTAGCTTGCATTGACACTGATGTTTTAAATTTGTGCTTTCCAGAAAACTTCATCGTGTAGACCACCCAGAATAAGCTTTTTTACTGTTTAGTTGGAAAACCTGTCCAGTTTGTTTGCTAATTAAATTAAGCTTTTTACAGACTGAGATGGTTGTCAGTATCACTGGAGCATTCCTGTTTTCACCTACACATTCTGAAGTAAAGAATTTACTGTAAAGAAATTAAATTYATTGCTGTAAAGAATTTAAAACAAGATGCCATTTTTCATTTAATTATGCCCTGGGCATGGTAGCAAGAGCACATGGGCTCTGTTCAAATGTGCACAAGCCATGCTTGCTAATTCACTAAATTAGGTAACTAAGAATAGAGAAATTGCTTATTATCACCATTAAGAAAAATGCATCGAAGTAGTCAGATTTGCAAAAAGAGCATTTTCAGGAGGCATGAGGAGGCTCCCTTTGCCTGCCCAGCCCTGCCCTCTTGTGCACAGCCACCAGAGCACAGTAGCCTGTTATTTGTGTTCCTAGGATGCCTCTGGAGGGTGATGGCCACTCTTTACTTTCCTTCAGCACTCAGAGCAGTCTCTTTCAGGGACAATGGCTTTGCTCAGGCAGCGTGGGCCATGAGCATTCCTAAAAAGACCAACAAACTGGCTTTTGGGTTAGGCTCTGAATAGGGGAGGAATTTGTGCCTTAGTCACAAAATCAGCTCATTGCATAAATCTTCCTAACGACTGTGCCATCTTACTGAAAAATGCAGTATTAAGATGTGTGTGTTATTGCAATGAATTTGTACAAAGGGAAGGTAATACTTTCCTGTAGTAGAAAAATGTAAACAAGGACTCATACATAATATGAACTGCTTAAATTTGCAAAAAGATGCTGGAATTTTAATTAAATCAATTGCAGTTTTTTCTGCCCAGATGTTTTCCTGAGGCTGATTTTTAAAGTGTAACAGTGTGCATGTTTGTGTGTTTCTGTCTGGGGTGTGGTATGGGATGGTATGGATCAGGATAGGGTATGGAATGGCAACGGGGGATACACATTCCCTTGATTTTTGATGGCTCAGAATGTAAATTTASGAAGAAGAACCTAAAGGTAATGTGAAATCAAGTGAAATTTCAACAGGTGGAGGATATCTATAACAGACACAAATCATATGTAAAATATTTTTTAAAGAGTTTGGAGCATACTTACAAGTTACAAGTTATTTTGTGATAACTGTGTATGTCCTGTGTACTTTTCCTTGCTGCTTTGTTTTTCCTTCACATTCTTATTTGAGAAAATCTGAGTTTCCCATGTTGTCTCTCCCCTGTGTATCTGCGTTTCTTAGAAATGCTGTGTAAATGTAAAATGTATTTCAAATGCCATTAGTATTGAATAGAATTGGCAAACAAAAAGGAATCTTAAATAATTTGAACACATTGAAAAAGTACTGAAGGTACTGTGAAACAGTAATGGATTTTMTTGGTTGTAGATTATTTAAGCATATGAACTGGTTCTCTTGTTAAGTAGCCTGTGCATCTGAATTTAACAAATCCGCCCTCATGTGCTCCTTATTTCTGTGAAGTGTCGCAGTGATCATGCGACCCTCTGCTGAGAGTGGAACGCCCACTTTGCAAATACATGACATGCCTGTGCTCTTCTGTGCCACTGTAAAAATAAATTTCCATTGGTGATGGGCAGTGTCTTGGAGATCATTTCAGATATCGTAGATCRTGCTGCAGATCTTTAGCACTCATCRTGTTCACTTGCTGTCAAACAAGTCCTCAAGACTTACTCCTGTGAAAACCCAAGACTAAACACAGCAAGGCACTTCATTCTTCTGGCATCTCTACTAGCACTTAATTCAARTATCTAATCAAAGCCTCTAGTGCTCTCCACACATACAGGATTTATTGTTTTCCTAATAAATTCCCATCAGATCRAGAGGTAATACCAGCTATAATTTTATTTATTGATTCTGTAAAGAAAATGAGATGAAAATTGAAATGAACTTCACTCTTTCTGCTATTCATGACAAGCAGTAACACACTACAAATCAGAAAAAAAAAGCAGGTTTGTAATGTTGAAACTGTCTTCTGGCTGCTCCGTCTGGTAAGGGTACATAACAAAAGTCAGTCCATAAGGAAAGTATGAAGGGGCTCAGAAATTCATCCATTCCACATCTGTGCAATGCTCAGTTTCTTAAACCATGGATTTCTCTTCTGAGCTTACATTGTGCCTGCCTTTTACTGAGATTTTTCAAAATGCACTTGTTACCACAGAGTATTTGTGACACAAAGATGTGTCTCCTAGGGCACTTCATCTCAAATAGGGATAACTCAGATGGATCGGGAGGTGAGGTCTCAGGAGATAAGTATGCCTGAGTATATTTAATGGACATGTGTGTACATTTAATATAGGACAAATGAGTAGTTTATTAAATATATATTAAAACTCCAGCAGAAGACATAGACCTGGATAAAAGCTTCATGTGAAGGCACCTTGCTTTCACACTTCCAGGGTCAGGGAAGGCAAATCACCATAGGATACAAGCTCCCATTCCATTTTTGGGATTCAGCAAAGCTTAATTTGGGACTGACAATGAAGTCATGCTTTGCAGCTTCTCTGGGAGATGGCATTAGGTTTATATTCAGACTGCAAAAACTTTTCTCCTGCTTAAGTGGTAGAACTGTGCTTTGTCAAGGAGGAGGAGTTGTTCACATCACCAAACGAGAGGTGGGGAACAACATCCTGGATACAAAAGACCACCYACCTCCATTTGTAATGTGGTGCTGTAATTCCCTGTCCTCTAACTGCAGCTGCCGCAAGATCTCCACAGAACAAAAGGCTTCATATTGGACTCATTCAAGSTGTATGAGTATGTGTGAGAACATCTGTGATGAAGCAGTCATTCCTTATTCTGGCTTCAACATTTTTCTCCTCTTTTCGTGGATCTCTGGTGCTGCTCATAGTCCCAGTGAAAAGAGGTGATGAGGCGTATTTATCAGGCATTTGTTGAACGTTGAAAAAGCTAAAGAATTTCAAACATTGTAATAAAAAATTSTGTTTAATATGAGCTGTAGTAGGAGCTCTTCATGATGGTAATTTTTTCAACACTCTTCGGTACTAGAATTTCTCATATTCTTTTATGTTGCAGGGCTGAATTTTTAATAAGTTTTCATTTTATCAGCATTGACCTCATTTCTAAAGCAAACATAAGATAAGTACAGTTTTTCCTTTAGACGACTGTCGGTAAAAAGCAAATCAAGCAATTCAGCCTACAGTTGTTTAAAAAAAACCAAGCACTACTGACTTGTGCAGTTCTAAAATAGATGCATACCTTGCATTCAAGTAAGAGACAGCTGCTCATTCTGATTTAGAGATTAGTGTAATGAAATAAAGTTGGCTTTCAATATCTAGATTTTACAAGGAACAGTGATTARTTACAGTACTGATTAATAGATAATTATGCAATCATGTACGACATTGACCCAAGCAGAAGCCTGGAGCAACTGGTAATGGCTAATACTAAATGAAARTTGGAGTTATTTACTTCAGTTGTTGGATACTTTCAGACAAGATTTAGAACAGGGATTTTTTTTTTTTTTTGGTAGATTAGAATAAACACAGTCATTGAGAACAGATGTTTTAATACATTACTGCAGAAATGAGTCTTGATTTTGTTGTAATGTGTTGAAATGTTATAAATAAGAAGACTTTTATGGAAGAATGTAAACATTCATCTTCACTTACTTAAGTTTTTGCCTTTTCATTTCAGGGGGTTTGGTTTGGGACATTTTTTCCATTCTGTCAGAAAAATCTAGGAAACTATATTTTTATACAGAACTCTTAAACACTCTTCTTTTAAAGCCAGTGTAGGTTTTTGCTGCACAAGGATTCCCATTTGGATGCTTTTTGTACCTTTGTACATTACCAAAGTGTATTTTTCTGTTCTTATGGGGAAAGAGCTAAGATAATGTGATCCTTATTGATTGCTTCACTGCCTGCAGTGACCTTGCTGACATCAACACCATGCTGGGAATAGAAATGATTAGTCAACAAGAACTGTCTCTCTCTCCATCCTGTACAGATCTCTGTCGGTGTGTCTTGTCCTTTCTCTGCATTCCTCTATGAAAAGTTACTCAGACTCCTTTATTACAAACGCAGCTCCTTATCTCTCATGGTCACCCTCACTGGACTAACTCYAGTCTGACAATATCTCTCCTCTACTCAGGGACCCAAACTATGCATTYTTCCAGAGGTGCAAGTTCAGAACAGAATAGAAAAATAGAATAGAAAAATCAGTCTCCTTCATCTGCTGGAGACTCAGTGATGCTCTCTAGTAAAAATGAAAAAGAAGTCTGATTCCAGCTCCAAATCAGATACATCATAGATGATTTTTGGGAAATGTTTGTACTGAGTGTTAATTTGCYCTGCAGATGTGCCATCATGAGCACTTTTAACAAATATTACCGGTGATGCAGAAATGCTCAATTGCAGGCAGCTCAAGGACTCCCTCGAATCAAAGTCTGTAGTGSATGTCAGATCAAAGCTGTACCCTTTCCTCCTTAGTGGAGAAAAATCAAATCATCATTTATAAGATAAATAATGAAGGAGGGTTTTTTTGTCATTTAGCACTCAGGAGCCTAGCCTGTCTGCATTGATTGCTAGTTTTGAAAGGGTACTCTGTTATGAAGAAAATTACGTTTCCCGTTTTCTGAGCTGTTGCATTAATTCATAAAGAGAAGTTCCACACCATCTTCCCTGGAGATACTTTCTTCCATCCATCAGTCTGTCTTACACARCTGCTGGTTTCTGATCACCTCTAAAGCCCTGTCTCACCACCAGAGAGAAAATTAATTAAATGGTTAAGTCAGAGATAGCCTGGAGTGTGGTTAAGACCAGTTACGCCAAACCAGGTTGAAAGCCCTTTCGAAACATCTCTGTGACAGCCCACAGTGCCTCATAYTGAGAGAAAGATGATCAGAGTGCAGTAAGTACAACTCTGTCTTCTTCCAGAAGACAACTGGAATATTACATTTAATTTTAAGACTTTCCTCTGCCAATTTATAGGCTGAAGTAAGGTGAAGGAAAAAGGTGAACTTTGCTAAAGAGCCGGTTGAATGGGAGGAGGAGATGGAGCTGGGAGCTGCCTGGCTGTTCTGGGGCGTGGATGAGTTCCAAACTGTTCTAGTGAATGTAATGCAGGACTTGGAAACAAGTCTAGCTGAACTGAAAACTTGGAAAATTTATATAATTTAAATACTTTAACTAAAAGGCACTTCATGATGTGAGAAACCATTAGTGTGACTTCTAAAATACATCTTCCTTGGGTACACTGATATTTGCCTGGGCTCATGTGTGTTTGTGTATCTGCACATGCATATGTGTCATTTTAATCTTTCTCTTATTCTGCGAAGGCTTATATAGTGTTTCATTGGTAAAGTCAGAAGTTTATGTGGCATCTGCTGATTCCATCTACTTAAGCCACATTATCATTCTTTTTMTGCAACTTTTTACGTGTCTTTTGTCACTGTGTTTGCATATAGACATGTCTAGCTTTGAGGAAAAAAAAAAAAAGTTGATTATTTAAAAATCCAGCACTAATTTTGACATGAATGGTTGACTTTACAGGGGAGTTTGACACAGTGCAGAGCCCTTCCACGCCAATCAAAGATCTTGATGAGAGAACATGTAGGAGTTCTGGGTCAAAGTCCCGGGGTAGAGGGCGGAAGAATAATCCATCACCCCCTCCGGACAGTGACTTGGAGGTATGTCTGTGGTAATTGATGAATGTTAATGTGGAGGTTTCTTCTTCTGAAGAGYAAATTCTAAATACTACAGCTGTGAAAATAACTTAAAACATTTGAGAAGACATCATGGACTCAGTTTTACTAAGTGGAAAACCTGCTCAGTTAATAGGTACTTGGTTAAACTTTTGACACTCAGTTGACTTTTAGCCTCTCTGAGTGGTGTGGTGGTGGGACTGTGATATTATTTGTTCAATAATATTTTCCCCAATTTTGTTTTCAGCGTGTGTTTGTTTGGGATTTGGATGAAACAATCATAGTTTTTCATTCGCTGCTCACAGGATCCTATGCACAGAAGTATGGCAAGGTATGTGAGCTGTGGATTTTGTGTCAATTCACTGTACAGAGCTATGTCCATGTTTTTCACCTCTATGTTCTTTATGGCTTGGGTGAAGTTAGGGGGAAAGCAAACCCCWTTTTCTGAGGGTTAACATGATGAAGTCAAGGAGAGAAATGAGACACAGACCCTAAGCACAATACACAAGGAAGTTGCTGCAAATGAGAGGAGAATTTATAGAGGAGCAAGGATGAGGTTCTTGACRTGTGTTGGAAGAGATGTTGCAGGGAGATAACAGATGAAGTGCACAAATGGAAATAACTCACGGTGTCTGGAATAGTAGAGGAAGAAATAAGAAACTGGGTTGGTGGGTGAATTTGCCAGGAAATTTATGAATAGGATGAGTAAGAGTCTGACCTATTTCAGTGCCAGCTGCAGATGTTATTCCTTGACTCCCCACCTTTTTCATTGAATTTKTGGTTCCCTTGGCTGGCTCTGGTGTGAGTAATGCTGGGGAGTAAAACCCTCTCCCAAGCAGTTTTAAGCATGCTCTCCCCTCCCATGAGTCCAAAAGGAGTTCAGGGTCACAGAACAGCGAGTGGGAGAGCAGGAGGAAGAGTGAGGGAGGGAAAGAGAGGCAGTGTCAGACTGCAGGAGCAGGAACTTGAGGAGCCCACTGGGCTGGTGGCAGTCCAGGGAATGACTGCTTGGACCAGCTGAGAAGGGGCTGGTGAGTAGCAACAGGAGCAGACTGATGGGAGGGGTGGAGCTGAAGGCCTGGATAAAACAAAAAATCAAATATGTGGAAGAAGGAAAATGGACAAGGRGAATGTTTGTATGTACATACATAATTTTCTCTGTGCTGTGCTAGTCAAATGAAATTAATGGAAATTTATTTATTTTTAAGAACATAACTATGTCCGTACTGTATCAGGTAAAGGGCTTGTTTAGCATGTTTTCAGCATCTTTATTCCAGCCAGAATCAGATGCTTCAGAAAAGKATGTGAGAAACAGTACATTACAGAAGCGCTTTTCAGAACTCACTCCCCAACCAGTGGGTTAGAAGTGTCCAAAGCCAGAAYCATAAGCAGAGATGGGCTAGTCTTCCATGTGATCAACCTTTTGTGKTTATTAAAAGAGAAAGGTAACAGGAAAAGTCACAGGCCAAGAGCAAAATCTGAATTTTTGGAATGCTAAGATAAGGATAGTTACTCATGTCTTGTGAAAAACAGCCTTCCTTGCTTTGCAGCTTCACAGAGCCAGATCTGTGCACATTTCAGTATTCGGTCCAAAAATCCTCTTCTGCTGTTTTTCAGGCATTGTAACAACAGTGACTTTGTCAGAACCATTTCYAACTAATAGTTATCAAAACAAGAGAGAAGCCTAGCTGAACATGAACTTTTGAATCACTTTGACTCAAAAGTAGACGACCACAGGACTTGCTGAATTGTCCCAGTGATAAAGTAATTCCTTTCATCCTTTTTTGAATGTGCCCCTAGGATGTTTCCTAAATCAACTTTAACACATAGTTTTAAAAATCAGAGCACATTTTGTAGCTCACAAAACATCTGTGGATAACTTTGAAAACTGTCTTGGAAAGAGCAACAGAAATGTAATTCCTCTTGGTATATTAGTAATGGCATATTAACAGACAGCAGTACTGACAGCAGATAAAGTCTTATATAAACCAAAAGTGTCTCAAGAGTTAGTGAAATTAATGTAGTTATACTGCTGAGATCAGCGTTGCTAAACAAATGTCATGGACAACTATGAAGCAAAAGGTGCAGATTTGCAGAATTGCTGAGTAAAATCCTTTTTTAATTTTTTTTTTTTTTTGGGGTATTGATAGGTTGCATCCACACAAGTAGGGAAAGGTGTTCCAGACCCTGTAGAATAAAAGCAGTAGACTTTTTCCTTCCTGCAGTGACTGCCATTGCCATATTTACACAGAACTTGTGTGATGAGTTATTACCAGTGAAAGTCAAATATAGATACTGTTGGCTGCAAGGAGGCTAGAGCAGTAGGAAAGGGAATACAGGAAGAGCTTATCATGGGTAGGGCTTTATCTTTTACATGTCATTGCAGTGTTGCCTAAATTTTAGGTGGGATGTGTCTGAGCCAAAGTACCTAAGAGGTTACAAATGGGAGAAGGGAAAGATCCCACAGAGAGATTTCACTCAGACTCTGGTGCCTGCCATATTTAGCACATATGGTCCTTATCTTTTCTGCATATGATTTGCATCTCTGTACAAAGTCTTAATCCAGGCTAAAGATTGGATTGTTACCGGAATTTAGTTGCTGTGAGACTAAGTACTCCAGGAGCTGTGAGGTTGTCATCAGAAGTCTTGTTGGCCCACAGGTCTTTCAAAATTATTGAGACAGCTGTTTATCTTGGAATGGTGGTATAAAATGGTTGCTTAAAAACGCAAAAAGAAATGGGGTAGTGTAAAATAGTGTAAATTATTTAATTGTGATGATTTACTATCTGATTTTAAAAAATAAAGGCACCTAATGTCACGCAGATGCTCAGCTGTGCATACCACGTTCTTCTACCTATCTTTCATGAGCCCATTTTGTATAACATAATCAGTCTACTCACAGTAAAAAGAAACCACCCCGAAATAAAACCCCAAACTTGCGGGACAAGCAGATTTTTTTCCTGTATTTAAATTTTGTAAAYGAGAATAGTGTTCTAAATGAGAACTGATTTAAGGGAAGGCAACTTCTTATATGAAGTGTGTTCATACATACAAGAAGATGCTGAGTTTATAGCTGGTGGGAATATATAGACAGGCAAGGATATTCACCTTCAGTTCTTTCCCATCTTCTCATTGACATGCAAACATTAATTCCTCGTTTTATCCAGCTCTTTTTCCTGTTTCTTTCAGTACCAGGTGAAAAAAAAATTCAGAAATTAGACTTTTAATCTCKCTGTTCTGCTGCAATTCAGGCTGCACAGGGATGCTGTGAGAGGAGGTGCAGCATATTATTGCCTGGCACAGGGATCCACGTGTGAGTGTGGGAGCACTTGAGAGCTGCTGTTGTATCTGGAAATAAACACTTTCAAAATATTTCTACAGTTTAACAAGTGGCTGAAATAGAAGATAAATAGGAAAGTCAAACCAACATCTCCATAGGCAATGAGGGCTTTTATTGGCAGAGATTATTTGGGAAGGCCTGGATCCAGTAGGCAAATTTCAGGTTGCATATTTGTCAAGACAGCAGCAGATTTCTGACTTAGTCTGAGGATTTGTGARGTTGAGAATGGTCACTCTCCTTGGTATATACTTGTTCAGCACTTTGCATGGCATGATAATTACTTGATGTCATAATTTCCTAGGATAATTTTTTGATGTCAAAATTTTGTAATAACCATATCAAAATAATGATTTGCTGAAGGATGCAGCTGTAAACATCTCATTTAAAAATGGAATTGGTTCTGCTTGTCTGGGCACCAGTAGAGTATAACTTTAAACCCAACTGAACTGGGAGAGATTTGGCCAAAGGTTGGCCAGTATATCACTTTTACATTTCAAATATAAAGCTTTCCCGGAAGACTATTCCATGCTCTGCTGTTTTCTACCTGTGGCTGTTTCTCTCTGTCTTTTTTTTTTTTTTTTTTTTTTTTTTTTTTTTTTTTTAATATTGGTTATTTTATTGGACTAACATAGAAAGAGAATAAAAACTACAGTACAGCTATGTTAATTTTCAGGGAAACTGTCCTGCCTCCCAGCAGTAAGAGCAGCTCTCACTCTGCAGCTCATTTACTCATCTGCCTTGTATTTCATAAAACCAGTGCACTTCTATTTTTAATTACTTTTTGCAGTAGCAAATTGCAGACATTGGCTTTGGAGCTGTTATATTATGACTTGTAAGGATGATGATGCTTTGTCAGCTGAGCACCAGTTGACAGATAYGGTTTTCTACAATGCTGAGCTCTTAAGTGAGCATTTGTTGATGTGACAGGACACATGCTGGAGATGTCATCATCTCTTAAAAGTTTATGAGGTACATACTTATTCCCTGTGAACATTGTGTATTCTTTGTTCCATTGCATTCCAGTTATTCTTGCTGGTTGAAGGATGTTTAAGCTGGAGTTTTGCCTGCCTCCAAGCAATTATATTTCATTCATTTCTCCCAGGTCAATCCAGAAGGCAAGGATTCCCAGAGAAATGCTGTGACTCGAGGTGTAACTGTTTAAAAAAAGAATAAAATTCCTTTGGGAGCTTAGAAGGGGAAGAATGTRATTTCCAAGTGCAAAAATCAAAACAAATCCACACTTGATCATATTTTGCCATTTTTTATAACATTGAGGATAACAGAAAGCAAAGCCCCATTAACCTTGTGCACTTCTCTGGAAAGGGCTCAGAAGCTTTTTACTACTCAGTGTCTGCTTGTCCTGGTCATTAAACTTTGTCACCATTAACACCCATGATGACATTCCCAAATTCACTCATAAATACTCTCTTGTCCGCCTGTATTAATAGTGTATCTCTCGTCACCTCCAGTTGTCCTCTCCATTCACTCCCTCCTTGTCTGAGACCTCTGAGTTGATTTTCCTACTGCCTTCTAGAGAGCGTGGAACAGAAACTCCCTGTGGAGTACGTGAGTTTTCCTTCATCAGCCGCCAGATGTGGTTACGAAGGAGAGATGTTTTCTCTTCCTCCATTGCCACCCATGTGAATCTCCCCTGGGACAAGTGTCCCCTATTGGAGAGTGAGTGCTGAACCTAAATCTGAGATTCCTAAATAATACAGGGAAGTGTCTTTAAATTAAAATATTGGTACCTAACTTGAGCATTTCCTCTTTTTTCCAAGATCAGTTTTGTTCTAAGTCTGTTCAGGACGGCCACCCATTGAAAATAACTTCTTAAAATTTTGCTTGTTTTCTTACTTATTTTTAAGGTTTAGTGCATGCAGATTTCTGTTACAATGAATCTACCTGGCAGTGTATTTATCTATTTTTTCTGAAGTTTTACTAAAATCAGTCAGGTGTTTGCATTTTTTTCCCAAGAAACGAAAGCACTTTGAACATGCGCTGAAACCTGACATTCCAAGACAGTGTTAAATAGATTTCTCCCACTAATGGACACTGAGCTTTTGGGGCTTTATTCCAGTTACTTTTCYTCTTGATCAAAACATTTAATATTGGTCCTCCCAGGATATTTTTGTCTATTCTCCCAGGAGGCATTCCAATGGATGGACCAGTCTGATACAGAAGTCCACAGACAGACAGTCTGGCTCCAGTTCAGAGCCTTCATCCTAATGCAACTGAAGAAATTTGTATTTAGGTGTACGAGAAGTGTTGTAGCTGGTCTTGATTCTTCTGCATGCTCACGATATCTGGCTAACATCATACCTCTGCAGACCAGAGTTATTCTTGTTCTGTGACTTATCTGGGGAAAACTTGCAGACTTTTTTTTTTTTAATTATTGTTTCCTCTATTGTGTGTGCTTGTGCAGAGTAGCACAAAACACAGTCTTGCCAGAAGTTCCGTCTGCCTCTTATTAAGTTTTTCAATTTACTGTGCTAAAATCTTTTATCAGCTGCAAGTTTCTTGCTTTCTTTTCAACACTCAGTCCTTTGTGCCACTTCAATCAGTCTGTAACTTCTGCTTCAGGCTGAAAGACACTAAAACAGTGGTTGTGATGCTCCTCCATATTGTGTAAACACTACAAAACCACAAGACCCTGACAAATCTGTTTTCTTGTCTATTTTTGTATGTGAAGGAAAGAATTTAACATGGCAAGAGCTGGATGGAACATGGTATTTAATTCTTGTTCAACAGTTGCGGTGCAAAGTTTTGGCCAATTCATTAAGGGAAGAATTGTTTATATCTTGAGAATTCAATTCCAGCACCTCTCCTTAGCAGAAGTTGTTAAGGGGAGATCCCAGAATGATTTTATGCTGAGTTGAAATGAATTCCCTTTGCTTTGCTCTATTTTATTTTACATGCAGTACCTACCTTCTCATGTCTTTGTCAAAACAGGAATGTAAGCAATATCATTTTAATAGCAATATTCAAATATACTATTAAATTGTTTACAAAAATACTATTAAAAAGAAAATCAKAAGAGCTTTGTCACATTAACATCTTTCAGCTATACTGGGCAAGGCAGGAAAATGTGATACATAGATGGTAGTTTCTGTAAAAACAAATTGGATTATAATGGAAAACATAWAGCAAATTTCCACATTCAAGTCTGCTTCTACCCAGGACGGGTAAGAAGTGGCTGAGAATTAGAAATCTGAGCTTCCAGTTTTGGAAGCACTCCAGTGAATAATTTACAGAAATAATAATGAGTTACCACCTGTGCATGAAATTATGCACTTGCCTTAGTGTTCATAGGATTGAGGTAAAAAAGCGTATTGCAAATACTGTCTTATGTTGTATCTAGAGAGAAAAAGTATTTAATTTACTGTGCATAGAAAAGAAATGCAAAAGAAAGAGGAGACAAACGTGTTTATATGTGATGACATTTTGATAAAATCATTCCAGCTTCATGAGGAATCTCATAAGTCCAGGGTATTTGGTGATTTGTGTTCTAAGTGCTTCACATGAGTTTTGCTAATCTGTTAATGTGTGTTCCTTAATCATCCTCTTGGAGAACTGACCTCTGCACTTGGGGCTGCCTTCGGCCGTTACCTTTCAAATCCAGTGAACATTACTGCAGAAAACAGAAGGGGTGAAGTTCTATTACTGGTCACTGCATTCATTTTTTGCCTTTGAAAGGTAGTCTAGACCAGTTCARGAGTCAACGTAAAAATATTTCCTTTTACTGCCAGAGATTTGGGTCTAACTTTGCATCATTACAAYTTCCTGAACACTGTTCTCCCCTTCAAGTATGACTTTTTCAGGAGCAAGAGTCAAAATATGTCAGTGTTCTCAGATTTTACCTTAGTTATTAAGTGTTTGAGTGCAGAAGCCATCTTTTATTCTGTCATTGCAAAGCCCTGGAGTAGTGAGTGTCTGAGCCTGGCTGGGAAGCCTTTGATCCTAACAAATGATCATTTGAGGTTTTGTGAGATTTTGTTGCTACACACTGGTAAACTTTTAGACTTTAAATCTCAAGGTATTTAAGAAGGGATTTCTGAAARCTTGCTGGTGTCAATCAGACTTTAAATGATGAAATAYATATTTTTAAAAATATTTTGGTGAGAAGAGGACCACACATGTTTTAAAAATTTGCTGCAGAATGTTAAGCATAAAAAAGTTAACGGAACCTCACAGGCAATAATCAAACTCATTACTAGGTGTCAGTAATGCATCAGGGACTGTTATTCTAAACCAAATGTAAGGTAACACAAATCTGCTTTACCTTTCTCCCAGCAAACCTCGAAAAGTTAAATTAATTTCCTTACCTTTGCTGTATCCTTAATGCTCTCAGACCGTGTTATTGCAGTCCAGTAGATTTGTGGTATCTTGATGAGGCAGAGCAATTTGATAGTGTGAAAGATGACCTATGAACAAATGCAGCATTTTGAATGAATCTTATCCAGGAACAGGACTCCCGTGTTTCATCAGGAATGAAGGGGTAATTTGTGGCAAACAAACAAAATTACATATGCTTTCCCATTCCTGTGGACCAGCTGGAGGATTGAGCCATAGAGTGTACTTTGTTTAATGAGTACCTGCAATAAAATTATAAAGAAGAAACCAGAAATTCATCAGTGAGTGCCTGCATGGAAAAAGGGTAAATACAGAGACAGAGAAGGATCAAGCGCAAGGTTTGAAGCTACRTACAGGATTGGAAAAATGTCTGGAAAAGAAACCATGTAGTTCTGAACATTGAYAAGGCAGTGATGATTTATCCAAAGGGAAATTCAGTTTGGGAAAATGGGCATAGTTTCAGAGTACCTTTTGTGTTCTTACAAAGAGACATTAGAAATGGAAAAGCCCCTTACTTCATACCTTCCTATCGCAGCATTATAATTGCTTACAAAGTAGTCATTTGGCAGACTACTGTATTTCCCAGTCCATCTTAGCATGGCCCTGGTGAGGACTTCTRTGAGCCCCAAAATTGGGAGGAAAAGCCAAGAGGTCAGAGAAATTGTACAGTGCACTGAGTGTCACATGAAGGACCTTCATCCCTACCTCTGCTGCTGRCTCAGTGCATGGGGTCAGAAAAATTACTGTTCCATGACCCAGCTTTTTTCTGCCCATAGATCTACAGTGCAGCTACTTACATGTTTTTGTAAATGCTTAGGGATTAAAAATTGAGTGTATTCTTATAATAATAACCACTGTCTTCATCATCATCATCAGTACTAATTTTCCTACACATATCTTCTATGAAAAGTGCCTTCCCTACTCCCAGCCCTCTTTATACTTGTCCATGTTTATGTTTATGGCCACCAAGTTTTTYCTGTCAGTTCAGCCACGTTGCAAATTCCTTGACTTCCAAAAAATTTGATTTTTCAGCATCCACAGTGCCCTGAATTTTCTCACAGATGTTCAGGAGTCTCTTATTATAGCATTATATTAAAATAGCTTAATACTAAAAGTATTTCAGAGAAATTTCTTGCAGTGTTAATTTTTCAAAACACTTTGTATACAGTAATTTTTGAAGTAATTCTAACACAACTTAGAGGTATGTAAATTGTTAACCTTGTTTTTTGTTTTTTAAGGATCCACCCATGGCAGTGACCCTTGGACTGCGAATGGAAGAAATGATTTTTAATCTTGCTGACACACATTTATTTTTTAATGATTTAGAGGTAAGAATCAAAAGAATGCAAGCACTGGTATTYCTGGTTTTTAACATAGTGGCTTTGCTGTGTGTTAGTGTTTATCGTGTGTGAATTTTCTGCCTGTGTAGTCTTTGGGTTGGTCACACTCTAACCAGAGGGAGGTTACCAGGTGGCCCTGACTTGCTGTGGCACCAGAGTCCTTTGGTGAAACTCAGTGAGAGGGAGAATATGCAAACTACCCATTCCTTTCTTCATCCTGTAGCCATCTTTTTGGTTTTCATGTAGAAGGCGAATGTCCATGCCTCACAGTCTTCTCTTGAAGTTTTCTATATTGGCTTTCAGTGGGTGCCCTCATCTGTTCTTCTCTTGACATACCTAAGTAGCCATTTGGCCACAGGCCCCTGTTACTTGTTCAAATGTAGAATATTCTTCATTTAYGTCAAAGAATCCAGCATCAGAGAGCTGGGACTGTGCTGGATGCTCTGATCTGTGATGTCTTTTCCCAAGGTAACCCAGCAAGCACATACATTGTCACGTTATACCCWGGGCATGTGATTTGGTGATTGGTCAGAAAAGGGAGAGATCTCTCCCTAAGGAGTGGCCTGTGTGGATAGGTCAGAAGTGCATGGACTCTTGCTGGGACAGTGGTCTGGGAAGCCAGATTGTCAGCTTGTCACAGGCTTTTTATTTCTATTTTATTTATTTATTTCTTAAGAGTCTGGATCTGTTAACATGGAAATGACAGTCTACAAGCATGCGTGTCAAGAGATTGGGTGAAAACCAGTTTTCAAATTAACCTAGGGGTTTTTCAGACCTTCTGCTGGTTAAAACAGCTGCTTTCATACTCAGACTGCCCTCCATGGACAGATATTTGCCATGAATGGCAGCTGCAAGACTTTGATGCTTTGTTTAGAATCCCAGAGAAAGATCTCTGGTGAGTGAATATTAAAGATAAGTGAATTTTTTCCATTCACTGGGAAGTTGTTTTTGCCTYTTGTTGCTTCATCAAATAGGCAGTAAGAAAAGCAGAAGGTACCAGTCTGTGGTTGTCTTCGTTATCCCTTGCAGATCACATTTATTATTAGCTCTTCTTAAGTAAAGAAACTGGAATCTACTCCCCCCCACACCTGAGCTGCACTTCCTCCTTGAAGCACCAGAAATGTAGGAAAGAAAAGCCCTGGACATGCCTTTCCCAGTGTGTGTTTTTTTGCAGTTCTAGTAAATCATCACTYGAAAATGCAAGTACATTCAGTGAATGTTCTCCTTCTCGTGCCCTGTACCAGGGAGAGATTCCAAATAAATTTTTTTAAGCATTTCTTAAATTTCTTTTTAGCAGACCTTTTCCCCTTCTGTGTTGCCATAGAATCTGTTCTTCAATTCTGTGCTGAGTTCAGATGGAAAAGTTCAGCAAAATAGAGCTTTGCCCCCTTTCCATACCTCTTTATTCTTGCTTATGGCCATTGAAACTTCATTCCTTTCTCTCATTATTTATTTTCTCTGTAGATCACAAGTTCAGCTGCCATAGATGGATCTTTATATTTTGGATAATCTTCAGAGGATGGTTTTAATATCCTGTCCAAAAATTSATACACCAGCTCGTTCCAGAGCTTGAACAGTTCCCAGTTTTAGATAAATCAAAAARTACTACTTGGGGGCTGTCTTAGAGAGTCTCGTAAATCAATCAGTTTGATTTGAGTAAAAGCAACTTATATATATGTTCAATAATCACAATTTATAGATTAATTTAAGTATTTTATGGCCCAGAATTCATCTTGGTCTCAAAACCAGCTCTCTTACAAAATTACCAAAATTCCAAAGTTGAAATGAGTTGTTTTCATTTCATGCATTCCAGCATGTGCAAGAAGACCAGCAATTTTTTATTTTCTCAGCAAATAAGATGAAGTGCCAAAGTGTGTAGAGGCACCCTTTAATATGCTGATTAATAAACCTGTCTGTTTAAATCTGTTTGTATAGCACATGGCCATTACTGAACATTACAGTGCATCTGCATGATGAATGTATAATGAATTCTGAGAATTCCCTCAGTCTGACTTGGGGTGTCTCCCTCATCTCCCCTCCTCTCCCCATCTCTCTTTCTCTGTCTTCCTCTCTCTGTCCTCCCCCGGGGGAGCAGAAATGAGTGCTGAGCTGCTGGTGATCATGTCCATCAAGACACAAGACCTTTGGTTCTCACTGGAGTAAGATAGGCCTTTATTCACTAGGCAGATAGATTGCTTATCCTTTCATCATGTCACTTTTTTAGYGGTGAGCCCTCTGGTCCCATACCTTTTGTCTTGCTTTCATCTTCATCCCACAATAAACCTTATGGGTCTGGACATGAAACTGTAATGTACTACTGAACCCGTATTCCTGTAATATTTACTCCAGCCTCACATCCTCTAAACTTTCTTTTTTTCCCCCCCTGTCTTTTTTTGGTTACAAACACCACATAGCAGGTTCTAGTAATAATAACCAAGTTATTGAAGTTATCACATACAAAAATAAAGTTTTCCTTCCTCTATGCAAATCTGTCTCACCGCAATCAGTGCTGATGCAGAAATTCCAATCTGCTGAGACATTCYCTGCTGACCCAGTAACCCGTGTTCTAATCAGCCAAACTGCACTTTTATTTCAGGCTAGGCTGTTCTCCAGCTATTGCATTCTCAGTGTATAAATTTTAGTCAGCTTGAGAAGTATTTCTTGGGAGGGCAGTTGGTGCTTTGCCATGAAAATAGGAGTCTGGTGCTGCAGAAAGTTCATGTGCCCAAACAATGCTTGGAGATGGGACTCAGATTTRTAATAACAGCCAAACTAAGGAATACAATTAAGTTTGTCTTCATAGTAATTATTAATTAATTAATATTTTAAGTACTAATTTTAAGACAGTGTTTAGAAATGTTGGTAAGGCGTATTATGCACTCCAAAATAAACAATTTCTGCAAATCRCAAGTAGGAACTCTGACATGAATCAACCAACTCCATTATCCCTCTCCACTCTCAGGTCAATGAAGAAAAAAATGAGTATTCATTTCAAACAAACTGAATTATATTTCGGTTTTTACAATAATCCTACCATATTTTCAAGGAGATGTTATCCTTTTTTTTTCACATTAGAAATACAAATGAGAAATTAAAAACAGTATTTAGGCAAGTCTCAGAATTTGGGAGGCAGGTAAAATTAGTTTTAACAGAGACTAAAGTTTATATATTAAAAGGGGTTTTCTGTATAGCCCAAGGAAGCATTGTGCTGAATATTCCCTTGTTAATAACAGTTTTGTGTTCAGCATGGTAAGTCAGTRTTTTTACTGGATAATGAAATTACTGTCCATTCCAGGATGATAAATTTTATGGATGATTTGTTGATTCTGTACTCTCAAATGTTAAGGCTCTAAATTTTCCTGCAAAGAATTGACTGCACTCAGATATCATTTAAATTAGTATTGCTTCAAGCAAAACCTAGATACTATACCTAGATTTTCTTTCCTGTATTCACTCTGATGGAAATGTAATTTTATGTTTCTTAGTTTTGACATTGCACTGACATGAGCCACTGTGACTTGAGCTTAACCAACAGAGTATGCAGCTGATAYGAAAAGTATTTTACTTCAATGTTTAAATTGAGAGAGAGCTTGCATTCTTCCCTTCTCTTCTATAACTGGAGTTGCTTAAAAGCAAACTCGGACGTAGTGTTGTGCCRCCAGTTTCCAGTTTCTTTTGAGAAAATTAGAGAACTATCTCAAATCTGCTCAAACTGTCTGCTTTTTCTTTTTTGTGGCAAGTTTTTTTCACACTGAGTGARTTTGTGAAAGGTAAACATTTGAGTTGAAGTAGATAAGTAAACAAGAAAACAAAGTAAAAGAAGACAAGGAGTGATGGGCACATGAGCTTGTTGGTTAGCAAATGTGTAGTGCCAGCATATGGAGGAGAGGTGATCCATACATCCAGAGGGGAAGAGGAAGGGGGAAAAGGAGGAAGATGGAGAGTCCTGTTGGGTTTAATCTTACAGGGGAAAGGGGGTGAGTAATCAGAAAACTTCATGATCCCCTCCTCCTGTTCCTAGAGTCAGACACAGAATCACAAAGAACAAMTCGTGAGACAAAAAACAAACAAACAAACAAAAAAAGAAATAGAAAAGGTAAACAGCTGAGCCTTTGCCACCCACTCATATTTAACTTAATAATTAAATTATCAGCAGAACGATTACCTCGAATTTTCAAGGCTGGAACAATGTAGCTGGAAGGCTTAACAAAASCCAAACAGCAGCAGACACTCCTTATCCATCAAGGTTATTGTGTGCCCTCCATTTAATTATTAAAAATCCCCAGAAATTATTTTTAAACTTCTAAACTTAACACTTTCACCAATTCCACGGAAATCTGTGAAGGTCATTAGGAAGYCAGATATTGCCCAGATACTGTGAAATATAAGAGAATTTTTTCCAGTAGAGCTTTTTGTCTGATTTTTGAGTTCCTGTCCTACACTGGGTGAAGCATAGTTGCATTTTTTCTGAAGTATAAATAATGAATAAGGATAAATAAAATAATCTTTTATTTCAGCTGTCACTTCCCCTTTACTTTCTCTCTTCATTTGCTATTTAAATCCAAAAGTAGCTTCTCTAAAATATTCTACAGCTCGAGATAATCTCCTCAGACAGAGCTAAAAAATTTTATTTCTCCAGTGAGGGGAAGAAAGCTTCATTTCTGTTCCTTGAACAGAGTTTTCTTATCCTGTCTTAATGGATTAAGCCACATGAGCAGAGCTTGGCAGCTCATTTTTTAGCTTTAACCCAGTATTTTAAATTACGATTGTTTGTACAATGCAATGAAATTATGTATTTGAAGTTAAATTGTATGCATTTRTTTTACACAAAATTGCCTTTTTTCTAACAACTTTGTTCATGTGAGTAAGTGTTGTTCATCACAAAACAAACAAAGCAGAAAAATAAAATAGTAATCCCCCAAATTCACACTCTAGGAACTCGTAGCTAACACATTTGGAAATCACTCTTCTCTTCAGATTTATCCTTTATCTGTACAATTTACCACTGTTATGAGACAAAGATTGGAAACTTAGAACTGCATACTCCTGCATGTCACAGAGAGCCTGAATTAGGTGCTGACTTAAGTGGACACTGAATTTCTGGTGTGTCTTTGGGTTAAGATATTGGATCAAGCAACTACAGAAAACAGTGATATGATGCATGAKAGCTTCACTTACATGTTTACTTTTGCTTTCCCCACATTTTCTTATCTTTGTGCTGTAACCACCRTGCAGATAATTGATAGCTGTCCAATTATAGACAAATCTTGGATGGGAATTAATTTTTCCAATGTACCTCAGTTCGCTCAAGTTGCTTCTGTGACTTCCAAAGCCAGGAAATAATCAAGTTCTGTAGAATTGCTAATTATATGCAATTTTCCAGCCAAAAGCACTCACATAAATTAATAAAAAATCTGATAAGTGTCCAAACTACTTAACATAAGTTTTATGCTGAGTGAAGTTCACCATCAATTGCTTTAAGGAGTGGGAAAATAAGGTTTATGTGATTTTCAAGTATTGGTATGCTAGGGAGACTATAAAAGAGACTTGTGATTTTTGTGGCTTTAAAATTAAAATAATTTTAATMTAAAATCACACCAAAATTGCATATTGCTTTTCTAAAGGTCTATTTTGGATACACTGTGTAGGAGTTGAGGGTTACACTMTTTTAAAGGTGTTGAAGGCAATAGGAAGTTGTGGGTGTGCACAGGCTGCCATCTCCTGGTGCGGTCAGTGGCCTGCACCGGTCATTTCTTCATCTGTACTAAGCCTGTGGTGAGCACAGAATCTCTGGGGTTGGAAGAGACCTCTAATATCACCTAGTCCAACCATTAGCCCAGCCCACCAGAGTTTAGCCCACTAAACCAYATACCCRMGCCTTTCAAACACTTCCAGGAACAKTGATGGCACTCYGTTGTARGAYAAKTTTGTCATTTGGGTTTGCTTTCCYTTTTTTCYAACAGGAGTGTGATCAAGTTCATATTGATGATGTTTCTTCTGATGATAACGGACAAGACCTAAGGTAAGATACAGAACTTTTTTCTTTCTCTTTTTCATTTTTATTTTAAAGATTAAATAATTTGAGCGCTTACAGGAATACATTGTATTTATTTTTACTGTATTTTGGGTGTTTGCAGTACCTACAGTTTTGCAACTGATGGCTTCCATGCAGCTGCAAGTAGTGCAAACCTTTGTCTGCCAACAGGTGTAAGAGGAGGGGTTGACTGGATGAGGAAGCTGGCTTTCCGTTACAGAAGAGTAAAAGAGTTGTATAATACTTACAAGAACAACATAGGAGGTGAGTTCACTTGGCAAAAACAACTTCCAGTGCTGATTGGTCTGAGCTGCGTGGGGACAATATGCCACCCAGGGAATGAGCCTGGGAATTCACAGAGGGAATGGAAAGTGATGTGGCTGGACCATGGGCTGTTGAAAGCTACTGACTGTAATGGCAAAGCCTCGTGCTTTTGTGCAGAAGAAACACAGTTGGAAAACAAAGCAAACTTCCATTCAGCTTCTGCAGAGCCCATTTTCCTCCTTTAGACCCAGCTATTCTTGCCTTACTGATTGTCTGAACCACTTTCTCTACCTCAAATATTCTGTTGTTCTAGGAAAGATGTCATATAGTTTCCACAGTGCAAACTGGTTACGGATGGCCATTTCCATCCTACATTTTCATGATCTGGTTGGTGACATCCCTGTCTCCCAAACTGTCTGGATATCTTCTAGTCTGTTTTCAGCTGTAGATGCAGGAAGATTCTATCACTGCCATGCCACTCACCCCTTTTGTTGCCACTGTGGCTCCCTTCCAMAGCTGTGTCCTCAATAAGTTTGAGCTTCACTGGGACCAGAGCTTTCCTGTTACTGTTTTAGATCATGGATTCGCTCTTGTCTGCACCAGCAGCTTGTAGCTAATCACACATAAGAGCCAAAAAATATGTTCTGGAGAGTCCCATGTGACTTGCAGAGACCCCCTCAGCAAGAGGCTGTGAGAACAGGGAATAATTAGAACTCTTCAATAATTGCTACAGTCACGTATTTTCACTCTTARTAGTTCAGTCTTTCCTTACCACAGGATGAAGCAATAGGACCAAAGGGTGGTCTGACTTTCACTTGCCCTACCTTGCTCTTCTATGGTGTTGTTGAATGGAATTTTTATATATAAATAATGCTTGAAACAGTATTAACCAAAAGTTTACTGGATTTTCTTGTCTCCTAATGCATCTAAGATTCTAAAGCTGCTGTGTTTCATAAAATAAGAGCATAAGTCCAAGATCACAGCATAGGAAAACACACTGAGAGGAAAAAAATCATTGTAAAGGCAGAGTGCACTGGATTAATGTTTTCATTGTTTCCCACATATCCTGCACCTGAAATATAAGACACCCTTAGCAGGCAGGTTTCTTCATTGATCCTCCACTTCTTGGCCTTTTTAATAGTCTTCTYAGCACATGTGTACTTATTTAATTCAAAATAGCTGCTAGAAAGTGTCAGAAGGCAAGATAAATCCATGTATTTTAAGGTTGCTTCACTTGTGATTTTTGAAGACAGACATCACCTCTTGTTGGGGGCATTGAGTGTGAAAGAGAAAAGGGATACTAAAGGTCTATTTCCCTGCTCTTCCAGACCAAATCTGCATTTAAAATATCTTGGTTCCAACAAATTAATCTCTCAACATTCAATAGGCTGGGTATTTTTAAATATCTGAAAATTTATACCCAAAAAGAGATTTTGAGGACTAACTTTTAAGGACTAACTGCRATATGAGAACATAAGATGTGCAACCATTTCAGATTGTAAATGTTGTAAAAGGAACCAACTACAGCAGGATATGAAGAGCAAGCCATCAGCAAATAAATATATTTTCATGTGTGGAACCTGAGGTTCACTGTTCTATGTACAGAGTCATAAGCAGGACAGTTTTAAACAAGCAGGTRTTGCAAAGGCCAGTTTATTTTAAAGTATCTCCTTTTGCAACCATCTTCACCTATGATCCCAATGGCATGGATCTGCTTGTCACTGCCTCTGATAATTTGAGAGCAACAAATGTGGGAGGAGCTGATTTAAAAAGAAAAACTTGTTTCTGAAAGGTATGTTTTGAAATGCAGTAAAGCAGCCTGAATGTATTTTAAAATCTAACTAATCTGAAATTATGTCTATCTGACATTGCTTGATATAGTGAAGTAGAAATTAAACCAGGAATCTACTGATCATTGAAGAAAATAGATTGTCTCTTTGATACTTTTTCAAATTGTAGTGGAATTTAAAATAGAAAGAATGACCATTAACGCTTATACATTACATCTAATACTGATTTTAATTTTATTTTTCTTTTGTTTTTTGCGTAAAAGGACTCCTGGGTCCCGCTAAAAGAGATGCATGGTTGCAATTAAGAGCAGAGATTGAAGCTCTGACAGACTCCTGGCTAACAAATGCACTTAAATCATTATCCATTATCAGCACAAGGTATGTATCTGAGTCTGCTGTGAAAAAAAAAAAAATTAGTTTTGGATATGTAGTGGATTTTTTTTTTTTTTACATTTTAAGTTACAATAAATTAATGCCTTTAAAGAACAGAATAGGTCTGAATGACACAGGAAGGCACAGGAAAAGTGGAAGGTGCTTTTATTTTCAGTGACTCCAGCATTTACTAAAGATAGTATGAAATGTCTTCTAAGACGTGTACATGGAAAGGGTATTGTAGAATTCTGAGACAGCCTTTAAATTTATTATCTTGTAGATACAGCATTCTCTGAACTCCAAGCTCTCTGTTCTGTCCTTCAGTGTTTCTGCCTATTCACAGTGCTGCCTAACTACTGTGTACATACCAGAACACAAGGACATTTTTCTTCTGTCCTTCCAAGCAAATCACTGTATCTTAGTATATATCTTAGGTTTTCAAAAGAGAAAAGTACCTTTTAACTGAGTTAAAAGTCTTTGTTGCCAATAATGAGGCATAAAATGTGTTTCTCCTCTGAAACAATAAAACTGTGAACCCTGCTGCTACTTAGCAATCTATGCAATGTGTATCTTACCAKAAATTCTTAAAAATCCTGGTTTTAAACCACAAAAAAAGAACATSAAGTCATCTTGGTTTCTGAACATGTCAGGGAAAAGACTCGATGTCAATGGAAAGAACAAATTTGGAAAGACATGAAAACCTTAATTTCAACATAACTTTTGCAATATCCTTATCTCTTAATTGTTGTTTACTTAACAGTGTCTTAAGTGACAGAGAGAAAAAAAAAAGTAAGAAATTTGTGTAAGCTGTTGTATTCAGCTGTGCATTTCTCGCTGAATTTTAAGTCTTGAAAGAGACTTTTGGTAATGAAGGCAAGTTGAGCATGGTTGGATGAGTCTGGAACACTGTTACCATTCACTTGGGATTGTTAAATGATAGTAATCTGTCATGTCTTCAAAGAGCTGTGCAACTATAAATCTTCAGAAAACTACCTGTGACTTAGCTAAAAATTACTGATACGTTACTGACAGGAAATTGAGATACACTGAGGTGAAAGCAGTAGCCTAGAGTCTTGCTTGGAATTTGCGGAAATGCTAGAAGGAAAAATCACAAGTATTTGCTCTCAACTCCATGTCTACATCATGGTCATGCTCATGTTCCAGCCTGTGAGTGTCTAAAGTAGCTCAGCTCTGAATTCTCTGGCCAGCACTTCTCCATTCCAGTTTTCATCCTCACCATTTGAAGCTTATTAACAACATCATTCTTAACTCTCCMTCTTTTCAGAAATATTCTTACTCTTGAAACATGAAAAAGGAAACGCCTTTATGGAGAAATGTATATTGGCTGTTTATTTCCCCCAAATAAAAGAGTAATAAATGATGTTTTCATGTTCTCTTAACTCTTTTATTTTGCTGGTAGCTACTGGCAATCAGTTGCCAGCATGAAAATTATGCTTTGAAAGCATTCAGGTGCCTTGTTTTGGAGGTATTTGGTGGTCTTAAATGTCTGTATTTTAGTAAGTCCATCTTCAAGGACCTGGTTTTTATAAACCAGTGTAGAATAWTTCCTACAAATCAGGCCTACATATTTTTTTAAGGAGTTTGTCAGAGATTTTGTATACATTTTCTGTAAGTGGTAGTGCTGAGCAGGTCTACTGTGAGAGTGAAAGTAAATGTTGAGGAATCCTTAATATGTTCTCCGCAGATGGTTCACCTCATCACCTCATCAGCATTTGGGTACTATTTTAAAACTAATTAAACTTAAAACTGTTTCTCTCATTTTAGGAGTAATTGTGTAAACGTGTTGGTAACAACAACCCAGCTTATCCCAGCACTTGCAAAAGTTCTACTATACAGTTTAGGAGGAGCTTTTCCTATTGAAAATATTTACAGTGCAACCAAAATAGGTAAGAAAATTATTCTTTCATCAGTTCTGACTACACTGTATCACTGCATTACCTATATATATATATATATATATATATATATATATATATATATATATATATTTCTTTTTTTGCCAGAAATGGATGGATTCCAGAACACTTCCCTGGCATTAGCAGTTTTAGTTATAAAATTTAGGCATTGCATATGTTCAGATGTGTTTATGGCAAAGAATTCCAAATTCACCTTATTTTCAATGATGCCTGAATAAAGATGCTGAGCAAGAGTCTKGGAAACTCCTCAGTATCATGCAGAAGACCAAAAACTTGCAGAAAATAATGTGGAAAAGTGTTTTGTGAAWCCAAATCTGAGCAGAACTTCTGTTAAATTAGCCTCTGCTCAGACCWTCAGCTCTGTGCAAGCCAGGCCATGCTTCGCAAACATTTTCCCAAGGAATAGTATGTCAGAGATGGGAATGGCAATTGTTACTGGCAGAGCCTGTATTGCAGGGTAACAAAAGGTCAATTCTCYATTCTGTTCGTAACTGTGTGCCTTTCCTTGTTTGGAAACGTATGGTTTCTGGATCTAAAATYGTAAACCAAAAGGAGTTGTCATTCCTTTGAAATGTAACACAGTRCTAATGACTGATAATTTGGCAGACTTTATGATCTACCAATCATCGATTCAGGAATGCTTCATTTCTGTAACTGTGACAACCTTTAGAGCATGCATTGTGTTGCTTCATTGACAAAAGCATTGCAATATGATTCCTAAATTATTTTCACAAGGGAAAAAAGCAGTGCATATTGTAGTAGTGTCAGGAAAAAATATTAACTCAGTCATAGTTTAATTATTTTTTCATTGCTACATCACTCATTGTTGCAGATACGCTAGAATTAAAAATTCTGTTTTCCTTGGAAGAATATTATTACAACATAAGGAACTACTCAAATTCAATTATTAATTCACTAACCTATTCATGTTTGCAGTGCTGCTAATTCTTTTATCTTAGTGRATTTCCTGTAATGATTAAGAGACCTGGTTTTACCTGAAGCATCTTAGGGAATGGAAGAGGAAGCATTAGGGAATCCCATCCATAAGGGAATCCATTGCTTCTTACCAGATTTGGCTCTAAATCCCAAGGCTGGAAACTTTTTAAAAGTAGTAATAGCAATGTCTTACCACTGCAAAAATCCTTTGTAAGGCTTCGCCATAACTCACGTGATAGCTTGAATAAATAGTGCATTGTTTTTCAGGCAAAGAGAGCTGTTTTGAGCGTATAGTGTCCAGATTTGGCACTAACATAACTTATGTTGTGATTGGAGATGGCCGAGATGAGGAACATGCAGCTAATCAGGTAACTTCACTCTGAACTCTTATCTCATTTATCTTCCAGGAAAAGAAAGTTGCTTTGAACGAATAATGCAAAGGTTTGGCAGAAAAGTAGTATATGTTGTAATTGGGGATGGTGTAGAAGAAGAACAGGCAGCAAAAAAGGTAACCTGGCTTCTGAAATGTTGGTGTGATACATAGCTACTAATGCAAGCCTTTCTGTTTGCATTTCTCTTAGTGTTGCACAAAATGACAAATAATTTCAGTCCACAGATGCAAGGCAACAAGAGCATGATGAGATCAACACTTAGAGTGAAATGAACCATTTGGATTCTAGCATTTGCTTCACTTCACTTTGGAAAGAAAAAAGAAAAACCACCCCACAAAATTCTTTTTAAAACAGATGGGAAAATATTGCAGCAAAAATGTCTGACAAACTACAAGCAAATTAAAAGAAAAGATAAGAAGGGMTATGACATGATAGTTGGGTGGTGGTTTTTTTTAAATGCCCAAATTGGGGATGTTCCAAGAGAAGTGTTAATAGAGAATGTGAAAAACATGTAAAGGATTGTGCAAATTTTTGTACTGAAGTAGGTGAAGATACATAGTTTATTGGAGCAAATATGGTAAAAATACAATTTGCTTCAAGAAAGACATATCTGTTAAAGAAAGAAAGAACACAACATAGAGATTTTGCATCAGATCTGTATTTCCAAAAAAGAGCTGTTTCCTAATTTTCTTATGATCATAATTCAAGTCCAATTACAGCAGAAAAGCTTTTAAYGATCAGAAACAGATCAAATTAATAATTTGTACCATGCTTCCCAGTGTAACCCCTGGAAGTGTGCAGAACCTGAAATTTTTTGCCTCACAATGTCTGTACAGGACAAGTAATGTAAATACAGTTGTGCTAGGAGTAGCGAAATAAAGCACACCCACAGCATTGTAGATGGAGTGGAAACAAAATGGAAATAACCAAAATGCTCATTCCAAATGGTTCCTTAATATAGGTACAGTACTGGTGATGGGGCCTTTATAATTTTTGCTAAACAATGGTGGTTGGATTGTGTGCTTTCTGGTTTGGCATGCTTTTTCCTTAACATTGGCTATGTTGCATGGATAGATGTAGAATTCAGAGAGATGGATGGATATAGCACATTACAGATAGATCTAAGCACAATATGGAAATATGTTTTTTTTTCTATTCTGATGAGTTAGTGAAGGACAATAGTGCATATACCTGCATCTCTCACAGACATTGATGCTTTCTRCAACACAAATTACCTTTTCTTAAACTAGGAATGTGTTATTTTCTTATCCAAAAAGATTTTACCCCTGGATGGAGAGAAAAATGTAATTCAGCTCTGTTTTAAATGTGGAGGAGTGTCTTTTCATGCAAGTCTTGTAACCTTTTAAATGATCATTCAGTGTTTTGCAGTCAAATAAGGGAGCAGCAAAGGATTTCCTGTTGCTCCTTTGTATGGGCTTGCATGCTAACAGCAAGCAAGCAGCTCTTACTCAGTAACAAGCTCTTTTCTAGAGAAACAATTAAGAATGGCTATAAGCTAATTATTTTAACTTCAGTTGAGCTACTAAGCTCAGATCTATTTTGGTCTGATTTTTGTCTGAACTTTAATAGCAAAAATCAATCCAGAACCTCAGTGGTGTAAAATAGGTGGTGGTAATCTCTAGCTRTCCTCGTGTGTCATATAATGCCCTGTGTCACAGTGTTCATCTTTCCTGACCTTTTCCCTCCTCTGACAAACACAGCACAACATGCCTTTCTGGAGGATATCGAGTCATTCGGACCTCTTGGCTCTCCATCAAGCACTGGAACTAGAGTATTTGTAACTGTAYTCTGAAGTTGGCGATCCTTTTTTTTTAATATAAATATATATATTTCAAGTACACTGAATTTTTATGTGTGATTCAATGCCTCTGGCTTTACACATATGAATTGTCTTAAGAAGGGAAGAAATATTTGGAATTAAAAATTCCAAATTGAAGAATTCAGATTGCTGAATGAAGTTTAAACATTAGTGCTACGTAAGGAAGCTCTATGGTCTTATATATGCAACGTTTTTAAATGAATTGAAACTGTGGAGGTTGCTGGTACACACCAAGTGAGCCCTGACAGGAGTGAAAAAAGGACTCGAACTGGCAAAGCACCAAAACACGTTTTCCAGCCAACAAGGTGGTGTTCAACAACATTCCTCAAAATGGGATATATTCTCAGCACTGAGGTTTGAACCAGACTTTAGCCTACCTAACCCAGAAAATCTGAATTGGAATGCACTCAGACKGTATAATGACAATCCTGTCTAGACCTGTAATTTGTGTAAATTATTGATGAAAATAATTTACTGTGACTTTATTAGCAGCTGATTTTGGAAGTGGATGCAATTTTTCTTTCTTTTTTKGGGGGGGCAGGGGTGGGAAAGGGTTATATAATATTGTCTCTTTTATAAGTTTGGCAAACAGAATGTGCATAATGATGTGTTGTGCCTTAAAGAGAAGACTGTGTTCGTGTGTTATAATGTAATTTTGGTTAAAAACTATGTAGATAAAAAAAAAAAAAAAAAAAAAAAACCTTTGTGATAATTTTTGACATGACCAAATTTGAAATTCGAAGAAATCAAAGAGCAGGGCTGCACCAAAGAATTTAAGTATTTGTTGCAGTAAGAAAAAATAATAAAGGAAAGTTTGTGTTTTTATTTGGATTCTGAATAATTCCACTGTTTTATTGAGAAAGGCTAGGAATATTTTGGGAGGTTGATACTGGGGACCGCTGCCTTGAAAAGTAAAAGAAGAAATAGTGTTTAACACCTGYGGCATCATTTCTTGATTCTCCAACAAGAGAACTAAGAGCCATATTCATTAATTACCGCATCCACTGAAAGCTGAACAGTGAGTGCATCTGCTGAGTATGAAAGGAACCAAGTTCCAGCAGCAGACAAAGTGTACAGGTGGCATTACTGGAAGATGAAAATGTGGAGTTAAGCCCAGATGGGGAATAAAACAAGTTCATTAAGAACGATTAATTAAAAAGATGCTCTTATCAGACAGACGTGGAAATGATGCTACATTTAGCACATTCAGGATGAACACAAGCTGCTGAAATTGCTGGCTTGGTGACATCGGCCCTTTCAGGAGAACAGTTCACTGTGGTAAAGAAAACAGCATTTTGGTAGCTTTTCCATTCTCTTCCACATTTTCATGTATTTTGTTTTGGGTCAGCAGGATTTTTCTCATCCATTTTTTGATTGCTCAACAATATTACACAGGGACACCCCTAAAGGTTTTTGAATGTGAAATTTCAATAGCGTGTCAGGCATCTGAGGAGAGGATAAGGAGGTGATTTTTATGAAGAAACGTTGAGAAATATATCACCTCAACTTTCGTTATTTCTATTAAAAGTTACAGTCCCTACAGTGGTAATTATCTTGCAAATTTTGAATATGCTACCTTTCAGCTATGGAAAATAAGCAAGATTCATGTTGCACACAGAGCCTTTAATGCTCCATGTGCAGCTTGAGCACTCTGAAACAACAGCAAGTGGTTTGTCTCTCATGGCAGAAGATGGAAACTGCTTTTTTGATTTTTAATGCTGTTTGTGGAGATGCCTGAGGTTGCGTTTGTACTGACTGCATGAAGAGGTGTTTGCAAGAGAAGATGTTAAAGACAAGCTCCAGGATGTCAATGCAAGCACAGAAGTCAGCACTGAGGTGAAGATCTTCCCTCTCTGTGCTCTGAAGCCATCATATGTCATAGTTACCAGGCAGTAACTTTATTCATTTAAACTTTGTTGAGGTTTTAAGAAAGCTATTTGGTAGGTGAAAGCCTGGAGCCACCACAAGTCCAAGGCAAAGCTCCTCCATAAATTCATTAAAATGGGATTTCTTCGCTGTGTTGGAATTGGATATACAAGTCACCACACAACAWACTAATGATAAGTTTTTGTCACTGGGCAGTTTAAAACTATGAGATTTGCTACATATGAAATCACTATAGATGAGATATTTGGGTGATAGATTTGTGTGTCCAAAATGTAAAAATTATGCATGTTTTCTTTAATTTTAAGTACCTGGAAATACATTTGTCATAAAAAGCCATAGTATGGTTTTTTTGTCGTTTCTCAGGTGGGAAAAAAACTGTCTGTACTGGAATGGGAAAGAAGTTTGAAGCCCTTCTACAGTTTCAGAATTGCATAAAAATCTCAATGTAAAAGACATGATAAAACAAAAAATTTGTATGGTGAACTAGCTTTTTTTTTTTCTTTTTTTTTTGACAAATCATAGTGTTATCTAAATGCATGAAGCAATATTAATTCTCAAGATATTTATTCAGTTTTTCAGTGTTCTTTTCCTAATTAGATGTAAAACAAAAACATAGCCCAGCAACAACCATTGGTTCTTATAAAAGGTTTGCAGTGCCTTCATTGGAGTTGTGCTTAGCTTTCTGTGGCAGATATGGCTCAATTAATGTATGAACTTCTAGAGAGGAGATGGAGGCAAAAGGAGGGAGGTTTTACAGAGCATGACAAGGTTCTGTGTGCTACCATACCAGAAGTTAATTGTAAAAACAAGTAATCCACAAAAACATGCATCCAAAGAAAATTCAAGGATGTAGCTCAAAAGCCTTCGCAATACTCTAAAACAARATTTCAGAGCATGAATACTCTCTTGCTAAGTAAACATTGCTATATATCTTTAATAAAAGTGTGTAATACATGCCTGCCTTGTAGAGAGAAATTAGTCTGATAAGTTTTCCTGCATGAAAAATACAGAGGAGAAAATAACTGAGGCAGAGACAGTCACGCCAGACTGTTCCAAGTGGGCCTAAGAAGATTAAACTGAAGGTTGGTCACTTTGACATTGAGTGCATTTTAATTCAGAAGTGTATTAATCAGAAAATACCTTCCCTTCAGCCTCTCCTCAACAATCAAGACTGAGCACAAAGTCATTTTTGCAAGTATTTTGGGCAAATGATATATAGAATAAAATGCCTTTTGCTGATACTCTATCAGTTCTCACTACAGAACTTGAACAGTCATTAGGCATTCGTGTAGTCAGCTTGCAAAATCCAAATAATGTGTGATTGCAATCATGGGATAGTATCTTAGATATAACTCTGTGCATTTCAGTAAAAGAGGGCAGAAAGAAACTAAAAAATAGGCTTATTTTTAGATGCCTGTTGAGATTGTACACAGGGATATAGGTAGCAGCAAGCTCCCAGATCTGTTTTCATTAGAATCCAGTGTGAGCAGCAGTGTGTGCATCTGAAGCAGATACAGAGTGTGTTCCAGTGTAAGCATTGACAAGGGAGATGAGGCCCAATCGAAGTCCTCTATAAAAGCACACTTCATCTTGGGGCAGATGAAATCCTGCACCCCATCAGAATGGCAGAGTTTGTGGAGAATACAGGCTTGACCACTGATAGGAAGAACAGCTTTTAACGGTGAGGTTGTATCCAGATCCAGGGTTTCAGTTCAAAAGTCATCTCTGCTTTATAGGATTGACACCAGGCATATGCTGTAAGTGAATATGGTATTTAGTGTCTCTGAAGAGGAGCTGAAGTGACATAAGCCAAAATCCCAGCAGCATTTGGAGATTTGAAGAAAATAGCAGCATTTTGGATATTTGAAGCCAAGGGTCTCTGTCATGTATTAGCAGATTCTAGTTTATTAGGGCCTACCTAATTTAAGAAAAATGTAAATTAAAATTAAAAGCTTGTAAAATTATGTACATCTTTACTATTTCTCAATAAATACACTTGGAAGTGTCATTTTCTGCACTGTACAATGTTGTAAGTTGTTTGGTTTGTRTTGGAACCCTCCTCACGCAGTGTCTGTCACAGGAGCTGTTTGAGCTGAGACTCTGTGTCCACACTGCCCTTGTCATTCATGCCTGGAGCAGCCCTGAGCCCGGGTGAGTGTTCTCACTGGCTCACCTGTGCACTGTTTGAGRGGTGCAGCCTATAGGGACAATCTCCCCCTGCTCTTCACCAAGGCTTTCTTACCAAGAACACCAGCCTGAGAGACAATTAGCACCTCTGTTGCAGCGTTCTTAAGGTAAAATACAGAACAAACCAATCTGATGATGTCGACATACATTGTTTGCATTCAAATCCCCTTGACAGTTCACTCAGTAATGTTACCCTCATACCTTTATGGTCATGGGTTGTTCAGGAGACAGACTGGGCTACTGAGGGGCAAGTAGCCTTTCCAGTTGAAGATCACCYTCATGAAACTCTCAATGTCTTTGGGGGCAGTACTTTGTGTCGGTGAGGTGCTGATTTCTGTGTGAAGGAAGYGGTCCTTCCACAGTCTGCTCAGGCCACAGTGGGATCACAGAACTATCAGCACACTCGGATGTGACATTATGATCTTGGCAACATCATGGCAAGTGGCAGAGCCTTGGTAGCCAGAGCGATTCAGCCACAAGAGGCAGCTTGTAGCAGCGGAATTTCCTCTGAGGGGTCAGATTAAAGCATTTCTCTTACAAACACAGCTGTTCCRTAGGTACACTTGCCACCTTCTCAGTTTTAGGAACAAAAAGGAAGATCTGTCCAAAATCAAGTGGACAAAATACAAACAATCTCACCTGCTGGGCAGATAGGCCCATAGTAAACAGTGGTTTTACAGTGTGTCTCCCAAATGGGTTTGCATGTGACTCTGGAGAAGAACCATTCAGTACCATTTCAGAAGAATGAGATAAAAGATAGTCAGAAAATGGGCAAAACACAACATYACCTTCATTTCTCATTGCCGAGGAGCTCAGTGCTCTAAATGGCTGTCACCTTATATTCACAGAGATGAACTAAAGCAAAAATATCATACTGAAAACATTTAAGGTGGACTCTTCC